ACTCTCTTCAATGGCAAAACTCATGAAAAATAGACACTTTCATAGGTGCAATTTCTTATATAACATAAATGCTATACATGTAACTTCATCTATCACATCGCATGTATATTTTCATAACCCATAGAGAGTGGGAAAGAGTGAGGAAAACAAACACTTTTCTCAGTAACACATCAAAACCCATCACAAAAATCCTATTTAGACTCTCTAAAGTCTTGTTAGTTTTTGATAAGATAAATCTTTCTCAGGAATTCTTCAGTCAATTCGTCACATTTTTTCGCTGAATATCACTTTTCCGATCTCAAGTCATAAACACCGATCAATGTTCTCAAAGTAAATATAAATGAAGAAGTCAATTTCAACTCAATTCCTGAACCTTCTAATCCAAACTAATCCCAACCCATTAAAAATCAATTTACCTTATCCACACACTCCTCACTGAAACCCAACCAAATACTTCCCGAATGAGATATCTGCCAACTTGAAAGTTGATAAAAGGGTGGGCGTTTTTTTCTTCTTTTATCAATGATCATTAATGAAAATTATTGCTTGGCCAGCGAAAAAGTCAATTGCTTGGAATGCTTCACCCAAATTTCCATACTATTTATTGTGTATTAGATAAATCTATTTTTATTGGAAGAAATGTAGCCAATTAATTCCCAATTCTACCGTAAAATATTCCTCCGGACTCAATGAAAATTAACGAGTCGCCGATAAAGGCTCTTTTATGGCGCCCATAATATTGTCGAGATAAAAAATAAAAAAACCGCAAATATTTCAAGACACATTCATCAAGCGCAACCCAAATTTATACAGTTTCAAACATACAAATAGGAAATAATACTTTCATATAAACAAAACCCTTTATCGCCACTATATTTGCAACATGATTACTGTCATCTCTAAACAAATTGGCAATCATTAAAAACAGATTTACATACATCAAATATGATTACAAGTGTAAATGCTAGACATCGCGCATTCTGCGCAATAAAAACTAGGCTAACAATCACATCAATATTGTACATGAAAGCAGCCGAGAGCCGAGACATGAAGAAATTTCCTGAAAAGGTCAAAAGCCTCATCATCGCTACACTGAGATTGTTATTTATACGCAACTTTGACATCATCCACTGATACGCATTTTATTACAGAAAGATCATCCAGAGAAAGAGAGCGCCAAATCAGATAAATAAATCTTAGATTAGTGGGGAATAATGTAGAAATCCACTCTGGTCAGCAATATCGAGTTGAGTGTATGAAATAAACAAGAAACTAGAGGAGAGAGAGAAAAAAACCGGGACATTAATTACAAAACAAAATGAAGAAAAAAGCACACAAGCAGCGTCTTAAATGTGTGTAAATTAATATTATTTGAGTGTATAAATTAACAGAGCGGAAATTAATGAAATTAATAGAGAAACTGTATCAGAACCAATGGCGTTAGCATAGTGTAAAACTTTGGCTGGAAGAAGAAATACATACACACACTCACAGATCTCTTCATTTATCATCAACAGGTCTCCACGTCTCTTTCAGATCGACCACAAGGGAAGCATTACAGAACACTATAGCGCAGAAATATACCATTTATGACTGATTGTCTAACTCACATGCACTCTGTGAAGTTTCAGAAGCGAGAAAACCTCACAAGAAAGAATTATAACCATATTAGTGCTCCAATAAGACATCAAAAGGTTCATCAATGTTGTAAATTTTGCAAATCCATTGACACTTTCAAAAAACAAAATCTAATACTAACAATACGAATACTAGAAAGTATTACTAAATGCCTGTTTCACTATTTAATGTTTTTTTTAACAGGAATTTTCTAGAGATTCATTCTTAAGGTACATCGTAAACCAATGATAAATTGTTATGCGTAATCCAAAACATCTTATGCGAATTTATTCATAAAATAAAGAGAAATATTTCCATGTTTTATATTGGAATTATATTTTTTACATTATTTATTCTATATTCCACCAATTGTTCCACATAAGCGACAAATTATTAATTCACTTAACGTGTTGCTGAACCTACCCCACGACTAATTCAATTTTAATATCCATGGGAATATAGAAAGCAATAAAGGGAATTCAACTGAAGGAATTTGTGCAAAAACTTTGGCAAACATTGCAACTTCTCCCCTTCAGTTTGCCAAGTGTGTTTCTCGCACGCCATTCGTATAAATTTCATGTTAAAACCTCCAACCTTAATCCATCAGGCGACGTGAGAGTGTCTTTAAAGTAAACTTGCTGGACATTTAAAGGTGAGAGGAGAATTCAGGGCGAGAAAAGTTGAGGTGGTCAGGTTGCAAATGTTCCCATTTGAACTGTGTTCTCATCACGTACACACCACATTAAATAATACAATTTTTCCCTCCATTAATATATTATATATTAACATTATGTGTTGACTATGCTATTGCTTTGCACCTGTATAACATGTCTCGTGAGCCAGTGTGAATTGTAAATATTTTGGGAGTAAATGAAAAGCCAAAGACAGGAATAACACCAGCGAAGTATTTTTCTCAGGAAACCCTTAAGCCAGCTCTGATATGCAAAGTCGATAGATTTTAATTAATTCACCAGATCGTGTGATATTGCTTAATCAATTTTCTAGCATCGAGACAACCAGTCTGGAGGCATCATAAACCATTAAATGGACTGAATCCGCCCATAATTGTTCACGAAATAATTGAAGAAAGTCAACCTCGCGGGCAAACACACATAGAAATGATATCTCTACTTCCACTTTATATTTCATACTCAAAAAAGAAGATATTGAAAATATAAATAACTGCAAGGATTCTTGCTAATCATGCTGTAAATATAGAACTGACAAAACTTCTTTTGTCATTGATAGAAAACAGAGATTTTTGGAAGATGAAGAAGTCATTCATTAAATTCTCTACTCATTTGCTGACAATATACACTAAAGACGGAATATTTTTGCAAATTTTTCCTCCTAATTAATGGTGAAATCTTGAGAAGTGCAGAAACATTTTCCACCTCATAAATTTAATGGACAAATTAATAAATCTATTTTTTGATCCAATATGAAATATTATAAGAGAGAAACATGCCTAGAAACTCGTTTCACAGCTCATGCGAGCAGCTCTACAGTATTTTCCTCATAAAACGTCACTCAGTAGTCTCTGAAATAGAGCGAGCATACCGCAAAGCTCTTCACCTCCACTCTCGCTATATTCTCTTTCCCTCCCAAACTTCACACGGCGACAAGCAAGCAAGAATAGAGCTGTGCGACTGTGAAGTTTTCCTGTTTCATTTTCTCACAACATGAACTTCTTTTCTTCGTCATTCCTACATAACACGGATGGGAAGAAGTAGGAAAAAAGCGCCACACATCAACTTGTGAGACCATCAATAAATTTTCCTCGAAGAAAAAAAAAACCTCCAAGGAAATTCAAATCGCGTCATAACGCAGCCCAAAATAGACTTCTTGCAAACACTCCAAGCAACATAAAAACATACTCATGCTTGCGACTCTGCATTTTCCAGTGCGGAATTGATTTTCCACTCCCGCCCGTGCCAGGAAGTCGGGGAAAAACTTCAGAGGGGGTGGAAAACAAGAAGCATGAGCGAAGCGAATTGCATTGAAATTTATGCTAACACTCGGAATTTCATTGGATCGGCTTCTGCGCTTTTAGGTCGGTCACTGTGCAATTCAGCGAGGGTGGCAGAATGTAAACAAACTGAGTTGAAAACAAAGAGAGCAACTCCTCAACAAGGATCAACGAATTCCATTTCACGGAAAATTGCCTTCCACTTCAATAGGGGAGAAGTTTTTCACCATCTCCTCTCTCTCTCTCTCTCTCTCTGTCTCTAACTCTTCAAATGCAAAAAGAATCATCAATAAATGCAATTATTGATGCCAATCTTAAATAGACGTTATTTAGCATTTATTGCCGCAATTAAGGAATGCTTCTTTCCTACCTCACTCTGCTGAAAACCAATTAGGGCATGGAGACACTCATTCACAAATAACTCTCAGTGAAATTTTTTCAATGTCACATCGTGAGTTTAGAGAAGGTGAAACACAGTGAGGAAATCGAAAATAAAAGTGGAGTAAACATCTTATATGGAAAGGAAATTGGCATAAATTATATATCTGCAGAGAAGGAAGCAAATTGTAAAATAATGCACGTAAATCGTCTGCAAATTAGGGGGAAGTTCATAAGCACGAAAGTTTCCAATCATCAAAATGAAGCGTGAAAGTGAAAAAATAGAAACTGACAAAAATATCTGCACGAAATAATAAAATGTAAAAATTATCTGATAAAAAAACTATGAGTACTTGAATTTTAAACTTTAATTTAGCTTGTAGGAGATTCCGAAGTCGAATACGTTGTGAGCCTATTGGAAATTTTAGCATGAGCACAATTTCTGATTACAAATCTTGATCTTGGAATTACATAACATATTGATTTCTTGGTTTTCATCTTGATGATAGAATTGAGGCCATTCTGTAAGCGCTTCAAAAGTTCCCTGAACGAAAAATAACGAAGTTAGCACACTGCACATTGTTCGTATTAATTGTCAAGCGAAATAAAGCTCGACAAAACCAATAAATTCTAAATATTCAACACGAAATCTCCCAATAGGATTGGCGCCAATCCACTTTTTGCCATTTCTTATCAAATTCCCTCTCGCTCGCCAGTCTTTTTGCCATGTGAATCACACAATGAGACTGAGAAATTCGAAGAATTCTGCAAAAACGGTATCGCAGAATGCCTTGGGAAAGTAGAAAAGCGATCGCGGGCGCTGAGTGGGGAGATGAGGAGCCCTCAGCTCGCGGATGGGGCATCCCTGGAAGCGTCTGTCACCCGGCGAGGCGCGATTTTGGGGCTCTTTTTGGCTTCTGGCGCGTCTGAGCGCGCCTCAAGGCACGAGATCGCTGTGACGAAAATAAATTGTGCAGAGAGCGCCTCTCTCTCCCCGCCCCAGCCCTGGCGATCGCGGAGAAAGTGAGGGATTTACTTGGTGCAGAGCCGTGAGTCCGTCCACGTTGCACGTGTTGATGTCGGCGCTCTCCTGCTCCAGGAGGCGGAGCACCTCCTCCTTGTCACCGGCCATGCACGCGGCCAGGAAGACGCATCCGGCGCTGAATTTCACCTTGCGCGCGTGGGCGTGCTTGGCCACCGCGGGCGTCTGGTTCGTGTCCGACTCTTCCCAGCGCTTCAGCTGCTCGGCCCGCTTGAACAGGGCCGAGTTGTTGCGGGCGTCCAGAGCCATTATTCCCACGTCTCACTTGTCACACCGGACGGGGGCAGCTCATCAAGCCCCTGAGTCAGCCAGGCGGCGATAGGGCTCTCGCGGCCACACAGCACTTCGAGTCCGGAGAGCAGGGAAGGAAAGAAAACGCAAGATGTGCGCGCCTGCTACTCCAGCAATGGGTTACACAACATTTCTTCCACCTCACTTTTCGCACATTCGCCACACTCCCCGACAGCGGCACCCACTTTACACACACGGGACGACACTTGGTGAACACTTTGGGGGTGCTTCCAAGCACTAGGGGCACCGTTTTGTCCACTCACGGATCACTTTTTGGGGATAATCCTGACAACTGTCACTCTGTGCGAAGAACCGACCGTGATGGAGACTGTGTGATGGAGACTGATGGCTCTTCACTGACGCCAGCGACGTGCCGTGTCGCTCACTGAAAACGAGTTCCACAGTGTGGAATGTCCAGAACATCAAAGGCTGAGTTTTTGCATATTTCGGCCAGAAACGTGATGGGAATTGCTTTCAAATACACAATATGCGTGTTTGGTAGAATATTAGAAACGATTTATTTCGAAATTATGCAGTATAAACATTTTTTTTAATCCTCTTTGCGGCTCTCACCTTTAAGTTCTACATTGCGCGCCGAGCGCCATCATCGCAGATCAGAGGAAAAGTGAGGTTAAGTATTGTTTACGTGTGAAAAACCGCTTAGCTTTCAGTTTCATTTTACACGTAAAAAGCGGAGTTTAATCTTGAATAAAATACAAGAGTTTGTGAAGGAGATTATCAGCGACTACAATATGCCGCGAATGGAGAACGAGCTGCTGCAGCTCTCGGAGAACATCGCGTCTAACACTCTGAAAGTCCGGACAGGAGCTGCGGAGAGATTAAATTCTCTCCTGGACAATCCAGAGGCAAGAGACGCAATCTCTCACAATGTATCTATTGATTTTGGCTCAAAGGATCTCTTGAATCACGTCCTGCAAGGACTGAAGAAAGTAAATAACTAATTCTGTGCTTTGAAAACCTTGATGTCGATCAAAATCCTTTCCAGCAAATTGAAAAGTACGCCCGGACTGAGAGACCTGATAAGTGGCTGACTGTGTTCAACTCCTGCGTCCAAAAGATAATGGGAATCATCAGCCAGAGTGAGTTCGAGGACCAAACATTTAGTTTATCGTGAGATATTGACTAAAATCTTTCTTCTAGATCCTCTGCTGATTGACAGTTCATATCTAGTGGAGAAATTCATCTCTATTCTGGAAGATGAAAGCCTCCTGACCTTCTGCGGGACGCAATTTATTCAAATCATCATCAGCTACTTCTCTGCAAATGATGTGACACTCTGTCGCGTAAAACTAGCCCAATGGAATGGTAGATATTCTCCTTTTCGCAGAACTTTATCAAAATAATTCCGCCAAATGATGATTTCTAGATCTTCTGGACATCCTCGTGGATTTGTATCTTGACAGCAATTCTATCACGAAGATCCTTATTCTTCAGGCAGTGAGAACTGTGCTCCAGGAAGGGGTGAAACACAGCTACATCTTAATTCACTTGCCTCAGTTTGTGGAGAAGTTCGAAAGAATCTTCCTTTCGGCCAGTGAAGATTGTATGCGAAGAGAGGCTTTTAGCGTCAACTACACTCTCTGCGAAGTCCTAGCTGTACAGAATACTTCCCTGGTGGATAAGCATTCAAGGAAGATCTTGCCGAAGATCATCGAAAATTATTATCTCGCGCGTCATGATGATATGAAGGTATAGAGAAACTGATTATCATTACAGTCTTACCTTATTGCAATATTTTTGTTACAGGAAGTAAGTGTGAAGTTCTTTCATCTAGTACTGATCCTCAGTACTCTTCCTGATGCATCTTCGGACGATGAAACATCGTGGAACTGCCTGAAATTGAAGATGTTCAACATTCTGGACACTGAACTCAAGCATGTGGTGAAGATTTCGGAGAATAGGAAGTTCTCAGTGTCGCCTATATTGGTGAAATTTGGCGCTTGTCTTTATATGGATTTGATCCGGAGCAAGTTTATCACCCACTCCAGTCGTGGAAATGATGAGCAAGCGAGGAAGAGAGCTCGATTCAATGAGAATTTCCAGGGGCTCCTCGATATGGTAAACCCAGCGAACCAGGAGATCGATCTGGGATGGTTCTGTATTCTCTGTGAGATAGTAATAAATCACAGAGATCTTCATTTGCTGGAAGGAGAGATGGAGAAGGTGGTGAAAATTCTGGAATTATCTCAAATGAGTCTCAAGGCTGATGTTCTGATGGAGTATTTCTGTGGAGCTGCAGCGATTCTCTTGACAGAGACAAAGAGAAATCCAAAGTGCAGAGAAATCTTCCTGACAATTGCTCAAAGAATCCTCAAATTATCTTCGATCGACGCTTTTTCCGCGGATCTAATCAGCAAGATCATCGCTTGTGGAATTATTCCATTGCGACAGCGAGTGAAGATCATTGAGGATTTCTTGGGAAACAAGGAAGAGACAAGAGAGATGAAAATCCTCATAACAGCTTTCAATGATGCCAATGCTAAAGAGATTTTTTTCTCGAAAAATCCCCTGAATACAATTACTACGTGGACTTCTACCTCAACAGACGTTTTAGTTAAACTGCAGCCAAATTTAGTGGCTGAAATGGTGGTGGTTTACCTCGTGAATGCAATAAGGTTAGAAGAAACACGTCCAGAAGATGTGAGGAAATCGAAGATCATCGATAAGGAATATTCTGAAGCAATGAAGGAAATTCAGGGAAACTTAAATGACAAGTTTCTCTGCAAGTTCATCGAAAAGAGTGAGGAGAAGACCAAAGGAATTCCCCAACGAGGACAATTGGTTGGAATTCATCTTCAGGAGTTGATGAGGAGTCTTTGTGTTTTGCCGATAAATATTCCCAGCGAAGTGGCGGCTTTATACTTCACCAAACGTGCCGAGATATTTCTCCGAATCCACAATGCAGTCAAGAAAGTTCTCCTGAACGAGGTGGAGAACTTTCTGGTCATGTTGCGATCTGAAGTAATGAAGAATATACAGGAAGTCGAGAGGCGCCTCACAGAGAAGAAGCGTGAATTGTCGAGAAGTCACATCATGAGTCTGATTGAGAGACTGTCGCACTTCTTCAAAGAGGATAATCAAGGCCTGATAAGAGATTGTGAAGTTTCTGGCATTGTAAAGTACGTTGCTGAGCACTTTCAAAATTGCTACTCTCACCTTGGAGGTGCCAACGAAGAGTCCTACCGCGTCATACTGACAAACTGCCTCCAGTGCATGGTTCATATGCACAGTTTCCATGCAGTATCGGTGGAGAATTCTTGGAGGAGGATTACAGACAGCCTCCTAGATTCTGAGACCAAAGCTACTCGCAGAATTACTTTGGATGTGCTAAAGACGATCGTCCAGATGCCCTATGCAGATTCTTTGGCTGATTGGACGTGCACTGAGATTGAAGACCTCACGTCGAAGTTCAACAAGTGTCCAGAAGTACTTGAAGAACTCCTGGGAATTATACGAGATGCAGCGGTGTATTTCAAAGACAATAATCCTGAGAATCTGGACAAAATCCTAGAGCTCTTCACCAAGCTCCTCAATATCTCACTGAAGAACATCTACCGCCCACAGATTGCGAAGATTCTTATCGAACACATTGTCCACTTCTTCCTGAACGGCGTGGCGGATGATCAGGATACGGCCGAAACGTTTATTGAAGTACTGAAGCGATTTCTCAACTCTTCACTCTTCACCATTCAAATGAGTGTCGTGAGAGCCCTTGTGGAGATCTTCAAGGATGGCACAAAAGTGGACTTTGTATACTTTCCAAAGGACGATCTGGCAAATTTCTTCGTCAACAATGAGGATTCCGCGGAGAATAAATTTGCTATCATTGTGCAATTGTTTCAAGGGCTCTTCATCAATTGCTTGCCCGCCAGAAGATTTATGCTCTTCATATTCGCAGATATGCTGTCGCAACAGAACGAAGTTGATGGTAAATCAAATTTTTTTCAATATCTAATTTAACACAGTAGAGTTTTATTTCATATTTGAGAGCGAATTAGAAGGCGCAGTTTGGAGAAGTTGTCGCAAGAATAATCTTTATGTTCCGAGTCTGCAGATGGTTTCATGTTCTCTATCCATTTGCCCCCTTTTCAGCCCGCCTTGCGCGTCTGCACGACGAGCGCTTCAACCGGCAGGCGAGTGTGTGGCGCAAGTACGTGGAGTACTGCATGCCGGACATGGTGGAGCTGTGGTCACGCTGCGCGAAGCCGGTCGAAAGGTATGTTTCCCTGGTGTGGCAAAGTTGGCATTTTGAAGCGGCACTAACCGGGCATGGGAAAACTTATTTCATCTTTCCTCCTTTTCGAGTCCGTGCACAATTAAATTAGTGTGAATGTGCGCGCTCCGTTTTCGGCAACACTGGCCGAGTTTATCGGGCATTGTGCGCTCCTTTCGCACTCGTGGCGTGCGGTGCACTTCTGTGCGCCGAGTGCGAATGGAGCAAAAAGGTGTATGTGACTCCACATGAGGTTGCTGAGAAAAAAGAGGCACACGGGCGGGCCTTTCTCATAGTATTTTCAGCACATTTCGTGGAAATTCACCATCGTCTGGTGACCGAGTAGAAATGTCAGAAGATTCCCTGACTTTTCGGAAGCGCGCTCTCTGGTCTTCCAGAGAATAACAAACTGCTCGGCACATATGATGGGGTTTAAAGTGCGGGAAAGTGACTGTGTGTGACCTTCGGTGGTGGCCTTATGACGTTGGTCACGCTGAAGGTTTTCTTTCCCCGGCGCGCACATTAGCCAATAGGCTTAGCAGTCTTATGGGCTCCGGATGCGATATTCGAGACAGATTCCCGACTTTGTTGCGATGTCTCGACTGCTTGTCCCCTCTCTCGCGCACCGGCGACCAATACCATCGCACACACCATCCCACTCTCTGTGGATTCGTTGCCGAAAAAGTCACTGTGAGATGACACAGAGGCATCAGCGCCTTCCGCCGCCTCATGGTCGCCTGGTGGGATATTCATACAAACTTGTGACTTGTCCCAAGTCCACAACTCCATCTGAGCCACCTCTCTCACTCGTGCACACGCCTCTGCTGTGTTCCAGCCCACGAGCGCTCGCCTGCCGCTCATGGTCTCCCAGTGAGATATTCAGTCACATGCCGACTTTAGATGTCGTATGACCATATTCACATTTCTCAACACGCCGCCGACACGATGTGCCTCTGCATTTCCAGTTGCCCGCGATGCTCCTCGCCTTCCAAAGGGAAGGCGCACGGCCGCACTTTTCCCACTCTTGGAATTTCTGTCCTCCGCTGAATGCCACATGAGACACATTCCCGGACTATTGGGCAAAACTTTCGGCAATTCCGTCACGTTCGGCACAACAATGTTTGGTATGCTGGCGTTCGGTGTGTGTGCTAAAATCTTCCCACAATTGGCTGGTGGCACTCATGTTTGCCTGTTGAAAATTTCTGACATTTTGCCGACTAGTAAGTGGAAAGTCGGCCGTAAAACAAAATGACTTCTCCGCAACGTCATTTCGGTCTAATGAGGTGTGTGTATATGGGAAATTTGCACTGTCTTTTATGATTGCCGCGGACATTTCAGATGATTATGTCGAGTCGACGCAAACAATTCTCGTAAGAAAAATATTGTCAAAAACACTCACAGCTCACACAATGAGCAACTCCATTTCCTCCACGGAGTTGAAAGGGTTGCGAGCATTTTGTGGAAATTATGAAATCATACTGTGAAATGTATTAATATTCTCAGCTATTGGGCGGAAATGTTGAAAGAAATTATAGTGCATTTGCTATTTATTTGCTTTTGATTTACATTACTAATTCTATTGATTCAAAGAGGAGATTCTGACCATTCGCTCTCTCAAATAAAATTCTGAATTCTATGAACACTTTTTACACCAATGTCTTTCACAATGAGACGTCTTTATAATAACGCGTATGATTTAGATTCCCTAAAGATACAATACAGTATTCAGATCCTGAAAGTTGCTATGATTGTTTCTTGTCTATTCACCGTGTTCTCTCGTTCTTGTTGAATTCGTTTATTAATTCTAGTCTATTTTCAATTTTTCAAGCCTATATCGTATTTTCGTGAAATTTTGCAGCTTCTGCTTTTGAACACCCTCGATGATATCGCGCGCGAGTTTCTGTGTCAATACACCTTCTGGCATCCTAGTGTGATTTTCTAACAAATTGCCGACTTTGTCGGCAGAGTAGCGAGCGTGGTGGAACGTTGTGACTTGCTTTGGTTGTCCTTCGTGCGAATTCTGGAGACTTCTTCCTCTCGCTTCTCATGCGCCTCTATGCCAAATGGTGCCAATGAAATATTTCATGGTGGAATCACATAAAATTTATATGGGAACTTATTCGTTGTCGCATGTGAAATTTCCGATGCGATTGTCGAAACACGGCATCATCGTCGAATATTCCTGCCGCGTCTCATGTGCGAATCGGCTGCTTTTTTAGCCACGATTTTATGGCCGCCTGGTAGCTTAGTATCAGATCATCGCATAAGTAATGCGGTTTTTCCCGTAGCGTGTGTGAGATAGAGTAATAAAAATGTCCGTGCGAGGTAGAAATACGGTTGAAATGTGTGGCTTGCGATCCCGGACTGGTTGGGGTAGTAAAATGCCGTGCTTGGCAGTGAGTCTGAGCGGGATTCGATGTGAGAATGGGCGTCCTTCTCTCCTTGGCCATGAATCAATGTCAAGGATTCAGTCCAAGGATCCTAGACAAGGTCTGTGGATTTTATGAGGGACATTCTCGAAGGGACACAGCGATTGGAAAGTGGCGGGAAATTGGTGCGCGTGTCAAAATGCGTATCATTTCCCTTGTAGAAGTGAAGTGATACGAAACAGTTGGGTGAATGTCGATTGGGACATGGCAGGCAATAAGCATGTGTGTTTTATGGTGGAGCTGAAGCTAATGTGTGGCACTGTAGCACTTCGCTCAAGTTGAATGGAAGATCTTTCCTCCGGTCTTTGGGCGCCTGATGAAAAGACGAAAAAGTGAGAAAGAACTGCAACCTCAGATTTGCCCTCTTTATCCTTCTCTGGCGTACTTTTTGATCATTTTGTCTCACTAGAAGCACCTCAAATTCATATCTTACCTCTCCGTCTCTCAACATCTCTTTCAGACTCCCAACGAACATCGCTGGATGCTCATCTCGTGTCGCTTTTATGGACAAATACCGACAAATTTTTCCAAAATTCCTGATCTATCATGGCCAGGAAAAAGTTCTGAAAGAACTGGGTGCTTCTGACCCGAAGGAATTGGCGAAAAATTCCATGCTCGAGTGCTTTCCGTTCATCCTTTTGGAGCACAATGAGAAGTGTCGCAAGATGAGAGAGTTCTTTGAGAGAATCTTTGGAAATACTGGTGACTTTGCGAAGCAGAATGGAGTCCTGATCCTGCAGAAACTTTTTGAGAATTTCTGGGATAGCGCAGAATTTAAGAAACTCTTTGGTTTCTCCCACAGTGAACTCATGCTTTCTGAGTTGCAACTCAATTGTGAGCAATTCCAAAGATGTCTCGATAAATTGAATGTGAGTTTTAAGGTGAAATTTTTAGCTAAAGGGATTAATTTAATCAGGAATTGTTCTTTCAGTGGGATTTTTCGGATTCTGATGGCAATTTTTTCAGCACTCTATGCCATACTGAACCTTTTGAGGTGGTGAAAATCCTCATGAGCCTCAAGCAAGCTATTTATCGTGCGCCTGACACTCTTGAAATGCTGAATCCGATTTTACGCTTTGTCCACTTCAGCAGAAGACTCACAGCTGTGGTTAAGAGTGATTCCCTAGACAGCACAGTCAAGAGTTTCTTTTTCTGTGATGTGACAAGATTTATCCTTCATCTGGTAACCACTGTTGATTTTCCTCATAACGTGATGAAGAGTCTTCTGCAAGAGTTTTATGCAGTCTTTGAGCAGAATTTCGACAATGCTCGCGATGGTGTGAAGGATCAGCTTGAGTTTGCAGTGGAGAAACTCACGAAAATTGTGAGAAGTGTGGAGAACGAGGATGTGAAGTCAACTGCTTTGAAAACCCTGAGATTTCTTTTCATTGAAAAGCAAACTGATTTGGTGGATGTCCTAAAAGTGATCAACAATATGCCGAGAGAAGTGGAATTTGATGCCATCAGAGAGACTCAGGATGTGATTGTGAACATGAACTTTAGTAGTTCGTGTGATTTACTCATGGAAGAGACTGTGGAAAATGAGAGTAACTTGGTGAAGGATATTGATCACTTTCTGGTGATAAAGAATCCTAACATTGACAGTATCAAGCATCTCAAAAGAAAGGTAAGTTAAACTCTTTTACTGCGTAGATCGTTATGATCACAACTTTCTTCTGTACATCTTCAGTTATCAAAGAATCCTGCGAAATTGGCTGATATTTATCAGCAAGTCAACTCACAAGCCACTGATACGATTCTTCATAAACTCACCGATGTTTTGGTCAAATGTACACAATCTGAAGATGACAGCGTGAGCTTGGAAGCAACAAAGTGCCTCAGTGAGATGGGATATTTGGAAGTCAACCAATCAAAATCCACCTCAAACCCAATGGAAGGCCGGAAGAAGACAGTAAGTTAGTAAATAAATGTGTTATTTCTTTCATTCTGATTGATTTATTCTTTCTAGAAAATCTTCTATGCCGAGCAAATTATCCTGACTTATGAGAAGATCATCCAATCACTGCAGGAATTGCAACAAAACAGTGATGTTTCCGTGTCAAATGCTGCCACAGCGACACTGAATGCAATTTTCAGTGATATAATAGGCAGAGAGATGAGAAGTATGAAGAACAGGAAGATCTTCATGAGCACTAAGAGATGCAAGCAAGTTCTTAATATCTCTGAAAGCTCGGTGAATTGTCAGTCTTTGAGGCAATTGTTCAGAGCTGAGACGGGAGATACTCATGAGATGTGGATTGGAAGGGTGGCTGGGAAGATTCTGGAGGCTTGTAGCTGTTCAGCACTCAAGAAAATCACCACAAAGAGGACGTCATTCGCTGAATTTCTGGTGCCGACACTTATATCCCTCTTACTTTCAATCCACTATCGACCGATTAATGGCGAAATTCAGCAATCTGTGAAGGATTTCTTTGAGAATTACAGCAAAGATAAAACGGACAACATTGCGAGTATTCATTTGAATAAGAAATCGATACAAATCATGCTCACCATTTGCGACAGCATTCGATTTTATAATGCGGTGTACGTGAATTTATTTTGTATTTTTGCTTAGATGAACTGATTTTGTGTCTTTCAACTCTGCAGATCTTACCACGACTCAAACAATGCCAAAACATTCCAAAGGATCGAACTGAGTAATCTACAGATTGCTGATGCCGCGTGCTACAGTGAAAACTTCACTGTATCCTTGGTATTTGCCGAGATGTGGATCGCTGAACAGATGAATATCGAGAAGAAGACTTCACGGGATATTCTAGGGACCGCCATCAGAGAGATTTTGATCAAGTGCTACGAAGCGATTGAGGAGAACGACGCTGCAAAACCATTCTATGACCTAGAAGAGATGAGATTGTGGTATTTGAACAATGATTCTTCCATTGGGAGGTGTTTTGTGGAGCGCGACACGGCGAATGCACTGAAATTGGAGCAATCCGATCAATATGAGCAACTCTTGCAGAGGTAAGTCAAAATACATCGTTTTATTTATGCAGAATCCGCACAAACGATGCCACTTCCTTTACAATCTGGGCACTCCATTGTCTCATCCTCGAATTCATGCTCATACTCATGCTTTTCTAAACTGCGCTCAGACTTAAAGACGTCGCCGCAGATTTTGCAAGGGTAAAAAATGTGGCCTTTTTGGTGACTTTTCATATGAACAGCGAGAATTTGCTTTTGACTGAATTGCTCGTTGCAAATCTCGCAGCTGAAGTGTTCGTTGTGGGTTTTCAGGTGTGAAATGTAGAATTTCTTAAGTCTGAATCCTTTATCACAGTGACGACATGTGAATTTATCTCTCAGATTTTTGGCCCGAACTTTCTTCAGCGGAGGAGATCTGAAAAGCTAGACAGTTTATTATCTATTTCTATTCAATTTTATGATAAATTAATGCTTTACCCCATCGACATGTGGCAATCCTCCAAGTGTGCATCAAGGCCTGCTACTCCATTGCAAGCCTTGCCACAGATATCACAATCTATCATGGGAAGTACTTCTGGATGGGCAGTTTCTATGTGACTGTTAAGTTCAGGCTTTCCGACTGATACCATGTTGCAGTGTGGACACGTCACGAATTTCGTGACATGCCTAAAAATATGCGTCTTCAGCCGATCCCTTCGGCTAAAAGTTTTGCTGCAGAATTGGCATGGATAAGACTTCTCGTGAATTTTTGTGGGTTTCTTGACATGTGTTTTGTAGATGTGTTGAGCTAAACTACACTTTAGGGTAAATTTTTCTGAGCACAGAGCGCATTCAAATTTTTCGTTCATGTGTATCCTGACATGCTGTCGTAAGGCAATAGCAACCCTGAACGTCTTGTCGCAATAAGGACATTTCTCTTCCTTCGCTGGTGGCGTGGTTTCATGAATCACAATATCAAAGTCTTCCTGAGGTTTTGGATGAATGGCCATGTGCATCTCAAGATTGGCACGTCTTGTGAACACTTTACCACAGACTTGACACTTATTCTCATCACTCCTGTTGATCCGTATTAGATTTTCAACATCGCTGATTTCTGTTATTTCAAACTGCACTTCTGCATCATCAGCAAAATCCCTGTTAAAGAGGAAAATGAATCAATATTGTGTGTTAAACGCGTGCAACCAAATTAACTTTTCCGGATACTCACAGTATTTCATTAGTGGTTGAGACATTATTCATGAAAAACTCTTCTTTTACAATCACACTTTTCAAATGTTCGTCTTTCTTCTTTACATCCATCCTGGATTGGGACGAAATTGCAGATATTTCTGCAATCGGTTTGAGATGGGAATTGTTGTTTTACTTTTCATTGCTCGCATGGCGTTTGAGAGAAACGTCAGAATGTAATGTTATAATCTCTTAATTTAAAATGTATAGTTAAGAAGAGTTAAGAGGAATTCAAACTAGTTACTGATATGCAAGTGCTTTTTCTGTTAATGATTTTGTTTTTAAAAATATAATTGTTTTTCAGTGTCTCGCATAAATTATCTATAATTTCTGTTCTTTTACAGATCTGGCCTTCACTACTTGACCAACTATTTGTCGCCTGAGCAGAACTTTAATTGCGCCTGGAGAATGGGCGACTGGAATGTGCTGGAGAAAGATTCATCTGCAGACAAGAATTGCGACTTTGAGCGCGATCACTACAAAGCGCTAAAGAATGTGATGAAGGGCGATGAGAATCTCACGTGGTTGTCCATTGAGAAGTCACGGCTGAGCTTAGTGGAGTCGATGAGGAGGAAAAATCCTCAATCGTCAAGGATATTCTGCAATCACTTTACGATGCTGCGTCAAATGCAGCAAATTGAAGATTTCTCACTAGCATTCTTCAGTGGCGATCGCGAAGATGCTTTGGTGCGATTGTATGACAAGTGGCAGTGGCACGATACTTTGCCTTGTACATCTTTTGTAGAGAAAGAGAAAATTTTGGCACAGAGATTAGCCATCTTGAGTGCGGCAAATGATGTGAAGATGACCGCAGAGAAGCATAAAACTCTCCTGCGGCTCGTTCACGAGGCCAGAGATGCCAATTGTGACAATATTGCCATTAAATACCTCAAACATCTGCGGAGTCTCACTCTGGACGACGAAATAGAGGTGAGATTTCAGGTTTTATTGCAGACTTTTTTTTTTAACGTCTTGATATCATACAAAATTTTTAACATTGAGAAATTCCATGTATGCAATGGTGAAAAGCACCATAATAATATTTTTGCATGCGAGATCAATGTGTGTTTCCTCACGGAAAGAATTCTTTCTTTCGCCAATGAGCAAACAACGAAAGTAGTAGCTGAATATTTATGAAGCTGCTGGGTGATTTCTTTCAAAATCACCACCTTGAAAGAAACAAATAATAGTATTTTGTGCTTCGTGTGATAAATATTGAGAAGTCACGATATTTGCACATTTGAGAGAATTGATTTTCTCAAACAACTCAATTATTCGTTGATCCATGGCGAAGATCATGATAGCATTCGGAAAATGCAATTATACCATGAGATTTGCTTGTGTTTACAATTGATTTCAATACATTTTCCTATAATTCGTACACAATTTCTGTTATTTTTTTTCTCATACACCTTTTACCTATTTACCTGTAGAGTGGAGCAATAATATTACCCCTTTTTCTTCTAGTCTAAAATGCTCCTTGAAGATGCTCAACTCTGCAAGAAATTTGGCTACACAGATTTGGCAAAGAAACTATTCTCATCACTTGTTTGTGATCAGAAATACGAGTCATTTTTCACGAGAATTACAGGATTGTGGACTTGTGGGGAGTTTTTCTCTGACAATATGAGTGAGAATCCCAGTGAGATATATCAGGATTACTTCCTGAAAGCCAAGAATGAGGTGAATGATTATCAAAAGCGCTGTCAAAGTGTCGGCAATGAAATGAAGAGCATCCAAGAGGAGAAGATAAAGATTTTCACAGCTGTGGCGAAGTTCGCAGATAAAATCTACACTGAACGTGACAAGTACCTGAATTCAAATGAGTACAAAGAGAAGTGTCACTATATTGAGTTGACACAGAAGGAGGCGCAGAAGTTATCCGCACAGAAATCATCGAGTGCGGAGTTAAAGAAGAGGAATTATATGAAGCGCTATATTTTAATGAAGAACAGTGAACTGGACAAGAATGAGATTGAGTGCATCCGCAATGACAGGAATCAATATCTCTCAATTGCCATTGATTATTACGTCTGTTTGGCGGTTTTCGGAGAGAACTGTGATGTGTACATCTCGAGACTGGTTTCGTTGTGGTGCTCAAATCATTCGGAGAAGAAAGTCACTGAGATCTTAACGAGGGTGATCGATCAAGTGCCAAGCTATAAATTTCTAAAAGTCCTGCCACAACTTGCTTCACGACTGGGACACTCTAATATGGCATTCAGGAATCTCGTGGAGAAGACGATCGAGCGATGCTGCTCAGATCATCCCTACCACTCGCTCAATCATATAATGGCCCTTCAAAATGCCAATAATGATGCCGAAGAGGACAGTTTTGACGAGAGCAGTCACATGTTGCAGACCAACGCCAAGAAGATCATTCAGAGATTGCGAAGCAATTGCAAAGTGAAGAATATTGTCGAAGAACTGAATGATGTCAGTGTTGCCTTTATTGAATTGGCAAATAAAACGATCGAACCAATCTCACAAACCTTGAAATTGAGCCCTAATGAGAAGATCCTAAAAATGGGCAATAAGCGACTCTTTCACCTGCCAACTGTGAATCTTCCTGTGAGAAAAGACTGCAATTATGCTAATATAACATGTAAGTATCCTCGTGGCACAGCAGTCCTGATCTTGATAAGAATTTTTCTCTATCATTCTCTGATTTCAGACGTAACTCAGTGGTCAAATGAGTTCAGCATTCTTTCCGGCATTAACGTTCCTAAGCGTTTGGTTTGCATATGCTCAGACGGGATTAATCGAAGTATTATTGTGAAGGGGAATGACGATCTTCGTCAGGATGCACTCATGCAGCAGGTGTTCCTCTATATCAATGATATCTTCAGAAGGGAAAGTCACATGCAAAAGCTTCAAATTCGCACGTACAAAATCATTCCACTGACCAAGAGATCGGGATTTATGGAGTTTTGTGAAAATTCGACGCCCTTCACGACGTATTTGTCTAGAGCTCACGCACGCTACAGGCCGTCTGAACCATCTTACAATGATGCTCGTCGGATTATTCAGAGCTATGCGCAACAGGATCCTCAGACGAAATTGTCAGAGTATTTGAAACTCTGCGAGAAAGTGAAGCCAGTGTTCTACAACTACTTTCTGGAGCAGTTTCAAGATTCGAGGCAGTGGTACGAGAGGAGATTGGCGTACATCAACACAGTGGCGTCAACATCAATGGTGGGATTCATTCTGGGCATTGGAGATCGCCATCTGGGCAATATATTGCTAGATCAGAAAACAGCAGAAATTATTCACATTGATTTTGGTAAGTTTTGTTTCAATGATATGAATTATTTATCTGCATTTGTGTTCACTTTTCAGGCATTGCTTTTGAGAGAGGTGTCATTCAAAACACTCCAGAACTCGTACCATTCCGTCTCACGCGTGATATCGTGTCGGCGATGGGATTTTTGGGTGTGGACGGGATCTTCAGGCGCTCGTGTGAGATGACAATGGAGGTGTTGCGTGAAAATCAGGCAACAATTAACACAATTCTCGAAGTTCTCCTCTATGATCCCCTGTGCAATTGGAGCACGAGCCAGCAGTCCGAGAAGAGTGCATCGTCAAATGAGAGTATGCACGTGAGTGAGCAGAAAAATGCATCGGCCGCTCGCGCGCTCTTTCGCGTTAATGAGAGACTCAGTGGACGTGATTCCAACTCCACTACTGTCCATGCTGTTGGCACTCAAGTGGAGAGACTCATTCAGCAGGCGATAAATCCGGCAAATCTCTCGCGAATGTTTTGCGGTTGGAGTGCATTTTATTGATGCAGAAAAAAATGTGAGGCGCACACGATGAATATCGGAGGGAAACAGATCAAGTAAGATTTATTTTATCTCTTCCATAACTTTTTTTATATTGTCTTTTTTCACTCAACAATAATTTCTGAAAGTGGCTTTTTTTTAAACATATTTTATACACATGAATTGTCAATTTTTTGGGAGATTTAGAGAATGGAATCAGTCGAATTTGGGAAAGAAGGCCTGAATGGGAAGAATGGGATCATCAGTGGCTATTGTGAAGTATTCCGGTATCCGTCGATTTTTTGAGTTGGTGTTCACACTCTTGGCGGACTTTTCGGTTGAGATATCATTGATGAGATTAGTGTTGATGAGGGACTCGGTTGTTTTGGAGGTTTGATGAGCATAAGGTCGGTAGGAATGATCGTTCTTGGCGATCTTCATAATGGACGTCTCCAGTTTATGTTCTGTTGTCGTGTCGACTTTTATACTCTCAGGTGAACTCGTCTCTTCAACGCGATGTCTCTGCTTCGTAGTGAACATCTTGTCCTGGGCAGCCTGAAAGCGCCTGTGATTCTGCGTGCTCGATCGCGTTGACGACTCCAGTTCTGTAGTCGAAGACGGCGACGTTGACTTTTGGTTGCGGAAGTCTATCCTACTTGAACCACGACGTGTTGAGAAGGCTGTTGATCCTCGCGAAGCGGGTCCTAAAGCACAAAGAAAACACACAAGAACTCAAGCAATAAGCTTAATTTGCATTGGACTTCAATGGTTCCTCACCTTCTGTTGAGGGCTTAGTGAAAGATGGCCTAGTGAAGGTGTTATTCCTCGTTGGGTGGAATCTCTTGGATGTTGATGTTGTCGTACTCGTGCTGGATTCCGTGGATAGAGTGTTGTCCTCACCTGAATCTGTTGTCGTCGTGGAGGGACGTGTTGGGAACCTCTTTCTCGTAAACTTGGGTGTTGTTACAATCTCTGATGGTTGATTGGTTGTCGTTGTAGTTGAGAGATTGTTGAGATAGTAGCTGCTGTTTTTCAGGCTCAACCTCGGCCGACTGATAGAGTTATACTTTGCCATTGGTTTCAATGTTGATGAATTAATTTGGACCACTGCTGGAGTTGTCGATGCCGCTGTTGCTGTGCTGTTGATAGCCTCATCTGTCGTTGGTGCTACTTGATCTGATATTTCAGTGACAGAAGTTGTGGGGATTTCTGGGGATTCTGTTGTCGTTGTCGTTGTGTCTGTTCTTGTTCTCTGACGGAATCTTGCAGAGAGTCTTGTTGTTGATGTAACGTCTGGTCCCGCCGTCACATTCCTCTCTGCTTTGACAGATTCTCTGACCGATTCTTTGGGGAACTTATCGATCCAGTTAGGATCATTGATGTTGCTCTTGTATCTGTGACCAGGTTTCCTCCTTCGTTGCTTCAGCTTCGATCGCTGCGTTGTGGTCTCATAGATAGTGACAGTGGATGATGAGGAGGGATACTTCATGAACTTGTAGAAGTGCGTGTGTGGCTCTGGTCCTATTGTGGTCACGTCGGTCGTGTCTTCCCGCACTGGCTTGATGATTTCTGTTGTGGTGTCGAAGAGGTCCTTGAAGTCGATTGTATTTCGGGTTGGAGCAGTTCCAGTGACGGCATCTTCGATTGTGAAGAAAGTGTGACTGCCGGAGAACTGAGGTTTTCTGAGGTGATGACCGTAGCTATTAGGTGTGGGTAGGAAGGGAGTGTAGACTGTGGCGGATGGTTCTTTGATTTCATTGAGTCGGAAGTGACTTGAGGAGAGTTTGTCACCTGGCGACATCATTGTGGTTGGGATGGTGGGCAGAATAGGATACTTTCGTGAGGGAGACGTGAAGTCCATGAAGGAGTTGGATTGGAAGGCGAATCTGTTGAGATCCTGAAGTGGTGACTTGGAGATGTTGTATTTCTTAAGGATCTCAATTGGTCGGAAGTTCTGTTCTCCGCTGATGTCCACAGAAGAGACACTTGAGGGAATCTGTGGCAGACCCTCCATGATTTGTATGATGTTTCGATGCCGATTGAGTTCATTGAGAACATCTGATGATTTGAGTGTTGGCTTGGCCTCCTTTACTACTGCATTTTCCCTCACAATGGGCGTAAATGGGCCTTCTTCGAAGATGGTGATCCTCGTCCTGTTCTCATTTCTACTCCTCACACCTGCTTCCACACTTTTTGGTGGTGGCACCTCACTGGGTGACGCCTTCGGTTGCTCCTCTAGCGGCTTCACCACCGCCTTGGGCACTGTATTGTTGATGATCTTGGACACCACTGGGGTTACATTCTTCGTCTGCTTGATGAAGTGCGATGCCAGAACGTGATTCTTGAACACATTCGGCGCCAGCACAGGAACCGTCAGCTTCTCCAGGATGTTCGAGTAGGAGGCGTACGGCTGCTTGTGATTGGTCGCGAGTGCCAGGTGTGCCTGGAGTTTATTGAGGACAGGATGTGGCTTCAGTGTTGTCTTCCCTTGAAATGTTGCCGATTGCGGCATCACCACAGGTGTATCTCTATGAAGATGCATGCAAAAGAGAAGCGTGATGATCGTGCGACAGAGCAGAAAAGGGTTTGATTTAGAAATCCACTGTGTCTGATTTCTGCTCACTTACCTGAATATCAATGAACTCGGGCTGGCTTGCAGCAGAGGAATGTAGCTGTAGTGGGTGATTGTGGGGCTCATGTTCACCGATGGCACCACGCTGGGGATCTTCTGTGTCGAGGAGTGAACCAGCGGCAGATGATGATCGATCTCGCTTAGGTAGATGGGCGCTTTGTAGCCATTCGCGACCACTGGGCTGACGCCGGACGTGGTGACGGTGTACTTGGGCGAGAAGGGCTTGAGGTCGTTGAGCAGGGCGGCACGGAACTTTGGACTAGATGCATTGGCGCCAAAGATCGCGAATGGATTCCTGTACTGTTGGTACTGTTGATTAGCGCTGTACTGTTGATTGTTGTGCTGTGGATTGGTGCTGTACTGATGATTTGTGCTGTACTGCGCCTGCAAATCCTTCATCTTTGCATTCAGCACCTGTGCGTTGTAGTGCGCGATCTGGAGGAGTTGAGCTGTATTGGCTTTGGCCAGGGTTGGAATGGAGATGAATTGGGTCGCCACTTGAGGCTTGGGAGCCGATTGCTGTGCAGCTTGGACAGCTTGAATGGGGGTGAAATGCACTGGGCGCCAGGCCATCTGAAAGGGAAGTTGATTAGTCCTGAAAGACAATCCCTGAAATGGGCCCAATCTTACGGATAAATTGATGGCTCTCGATGTCGAATCATCACAACAAGCTAAATTGACGCACAACACCAGGAAGAGTCCTAGAAATGAGAAATATTTTCCCTCATTTGCATGATTTCCCATATTTATCTCATTTAAACAAAGTGAGTAATATCCCACCAACATGTGATTATAGGTGCTTCTTCTTGTCGACAGAGTAATTCAATAAGTCAATTACAAATGATCGTCAATCAGCTAAAATGTTCCACTCTTTGCCGACACTTTTGCATCGCAAAAATGGAAATATTTTGCAAGTCGTGCAAGATGCATTTATGGGTTTCTTCTCTGTTTTCAAGACGTTCATTTAGAAAGTCATAAATTAACATGAATTTCAATTGTTTTATGGTTTTCTAACCACTTATGAATTATTTAAGATTAAGATGTGCCGAAGAGAAGGAAAAACACACGCAGATGTAATGCTATCTATTGGCAAAAAAATCTGGGAATGCCATTTCAAGTTGATTTATCAATATAGGCATCTGATTAAAATATTACTTTCACTGGGATGTTTTTAAAAGATTCATTTATTCAGCTCAAAATTAACAAATCTTCAATGAAATGACAATTTTCGTAGGCAAAATATCTCATGAAATTTAATGCTTCCGAAAGATTTGTACACGAAGTTTCTCAGTGTTTTATGGGTCAAATTGAACTGGAATTGTGCACTTAAACTCACCCCAAATAACAAGGCTGAATAATTTGGTATTCATTTTTGCTGCTGATTTGGAGATCTGTATTATTGAATTGTTTCTAATTAACACTAAATCACTTAAATTGGTTGCTTTTTGCAGAAGAGGGAGAATATAAGTGTTGCTTTTGCGAAAAATTGCTATTTAATCACATAATTGAGGACACAAATTGTCTCCACTTTTCTTGCTTGGGTTTCAGGAAACACTTTAACTTTTCGGGGGAAATGGGAACACTTTTGGGTGAAAATGTTGCATCCGATAAAAAAGCACAGCACACACAGTTTTTTTTTCTTAAATGTAGAGTTGATAAAAGTGTTGGATGGAGAATTTACGCGCTAAAAATTAATGTCACAGGTCAGTTGAGTCTCTCTTCCTATAGTCACAGATGCACAGTTTAGTAGTATAAATTGTCTTACAATCCAGCATAAAAAGCAGGACAGCAACTGGCAGCATAAACTTCCCACATTTTGCACGATAGAGACACGGAACTCGATTGCACAGAATTGATTTAATTGTTGGTGTGCTGATGGCAGTGATGAAGAGACCAATTTACACAATTTCTTTTATTTCACTTGGTCGCGTCGCACTAATTCAAAACACTTTGTGGCTCCGGGTTTGGCCAAAAAAGGGCTTCACAGCTCTATTGATGAAACGATTTGCCTTTGTTGATGATTGGTTTCGATGGTGTTTTGGGCCGTTTGTGAAAATTTCACGCGCGAACGTGACAAAAATGCTTGATTTTGGTGAAAACAGTCTCTCCTTTGATTTGATGATGGAAAGAAATTATGATATTTGTGTGTTTGGTCGCGAGGTTGCAGAGAGAGAAGAGTTGTGACTTCTTTATTCGCTGCTGCCAGCGAGACTTAACTGTTTCTGAGACAAGTACTCAAATCATACTAATGCGTTTACTGGTGCTGGAATTCTTCGGTACCCACCTTTGAGTTTGCCTCAGCTGCACATCTCGCGATTATACCGATAGATTGCACTCATGTATATATTGAAGGCATCGCCAAGCATAGGCTAACAGTGTTGCCTCTCGATTTTCATCATTGATGTGTGGTAAAATTCACCACAAACACTCGCGCAGCAGCACGCGAAGAGGCGGCCAAGAAGTCGATGGTCTCATGGCTGTTTTATGATAATCCCCGAAGCATATTTGAGAATATCTATGCTCTGGGAACATCTTTTTTTCGCTGGCAAATCACTTCCGCCATGTCTCTATATTCATCACCTGTAGCGATGTTCTTGTCCAGCGCAAGCGAAGAGAATCCGTCCTGAGAACATTTCCCACAGGAGGAATTGACTCTGGAACGGTTGGTATGGCAAAACAAATCGCAAGAGACAAGTTGATGCTCGTTAACAGGAGATGAGCGTGTAATGGGTGTGAATATGCGTTTCATAAAATGAATGATATTTGAGTGAGTGTAATTTAAATTAAGCACAAAAGTCAAGTTCACGAGCAAAATACACGCACAATGTAGGGTAACGGATGTAATTTACTGCTTAACGCACTTTCTCACTAGAATTTGCCTCTTTTTGTGCTTCTCAGCTGATGATTTGTGTAGTGGGAAATTTTGAAAATAGCATCTTCTTTTGTTGATCCAAGACAGAAGTCTCAAGTGTAGTTTATGAAGGCTCAAAAAGAATTGAAAATGAACTGCTAAAGGGGTGCGTCATCGAGAAAATTGGGAGATCAATTATAGAAAATAGTAAGATACTTTTTCTGGGACTTTTCAGTCTTCAAGCACGAGAAAAGTTCTCCGGACAGAATCCGCTAAGCTAATTATTTAGCCTGACGTATGACTTGAAGTAGTGAACTTTTCTGGGATCTCCTGAACTCATAAGCATCGCATTTCTCAATGACGTGCCCTGAAGAAATGCTTTGACCGATAAATCTGACTGAAGGAAATTTTGCATATCTCACACAAACACAATCAATCATCATTTTCCTATTTAATTTCTATTGAATCTCTCTTGAGCTTCGCCATTGTGGCCAACAAAGTGATTAATTGAAAAAAATTGAGATAATCAATGAGAGTTTATTCAGAAATTTAAACATTCCACAATCAGAGAAAAATTGTGTTTTCTCTCACAAATGGTGGAAAAAAATAATAATACGGATTTTTGTGTGTTGGTTTAGAAGAAGAAATTTAGCAATTCAGGTGAAAGAACGATGCTGAGATGCGAAGCATAATTTGGGAGCTCAATCGAGCGTCATTAAATGGATTTGTGTGGAAACAAATTATCTGTCATGGACTGAGTGGATTTTCCGCATCCGGCGAAGTGATTTTTGGGAGAGCGAACGAAATCATTAAGACTTGTGATGCTGAAGTTAAAGGGGGACAAGAAAGTTCTTTCGCCTCTACGGCAATTTTTGTGATATAAATCTCTTTGTCGCACTCTTTTCCCGCCGCAAAGTCAACAAAACAGACGAAATGGATGTGGTTTTTTGTGTGCAGAATCTCTAGACGGGTTTTCATTGTTGTAGCGAATGGGAAAGAAGGGCTATTAAACATTCTTCATTGATGATAAACTGTATTTCCCAGAGTGTTATTTGCAATTAATATGGAACTCACATACATTTGATGGTAAATACTCTTCGTGGCATCTCTCTTTCATCGATAATATGCAATATTTGTGTGTTTTTTGCTCGACTTTCTCCGGTGTTGGTCTGAGCTTGTGTGGCATTCGTTTGGCGGTCATTTCGAGCAGAATTGGTGGCAATTCTGTTTGACCTCCCAAATGATTCAGGACGATCGTTGCCTGTCTGGCCCTGCTCGAATGGGAGTTTCGCCCTAACACTCTCGAATCCGTGCGCAAGTGGAAGTTTTGCTGATCACATGGAAATTCATTCATGCAACAATTAATTATTAGACCATGTCTTCTCTTTCTCTCCAGCATCAGAGCGTCTTGTGCTCTTTGAAGCAGTGAGGAATGCCAATTGAAAATATTTGCGCTGCATTTTGAGGTGATTTTCAAACTCAAAACCACTGTGGAAATCACCTTCGGCGTGTCTTTCACCAATTGAACATGCCGTGCCGCTCTGGGAAAATCGAATCAATAGTTCCTTCAACTTTCGATACTCTGCGCCTTGACGTGAATTCTCTCTCCTCGCTGAATTAGTTATTGGGCAGAAAATGGATTGATGACTATCTGAATGATAGGTTCTTTTGTGTCTGACATGATTAATTTTATTTATCAGTTGGTTGTTTTTTTTTCTTCCTGTCGCTATTTACAAGATCACACTTTTTTTCTTTATACTCTTCTGCTTCACCTGCTTTACAAAACTCTGGGAGGCAATCTCTCATGACAATGTTTCTTTTCACCCTCGCAAAGTGTCTTTTGCTAAATTTCCCTTTCACTAATTCTTGTTATCACTTCTCACTTTCATATGCAATTATTATAAGTTATGCACATACAATAAGTTTTATTATATTGTTTCTCCTCCATACTAGAGAGACCACGCTAAATATTCCTAAGCTGTGTACGCGACTAATCTCAATCTCTCCTTGCTTTTGTCCATTGCAGATGACGAAATAAGGGGTTGTGACGTGAAGACGCAAGCCTGAGGTGTTTTGCTGGGGGAATTCTACCTGAACGTCTCATGGAAGATAAGTGAAACTTCTTCAGTTATATTCCGCACATTGAGAGAGTGTCCAAAAGAATAATATTGACAAGACATAAATGATTATTCATAGAATTAATAAAAAAAAATATGCAGCAAAAAAGAATCCCGATACTTTCTGAACACTCTGACAATTGCTCCTTTTGTGTGGGAAAGGGAAAAAGACCAGAATTGAAGAGCCAAAAGACAAGAAACAAATAATTTTGCACAATATTTTGTTGTGTTTTTTTCTGTCTCTCTCTCGCACTATTTATCTTAATGTCTAATTACGTTCACTGTGCTATATATACAACATAATAACTACAATTCTTCACTATGCGTTTCTCAAATTCACATACAGAAAATGATTACGAACGTCTTGCAAAGTGCTTCTCTTCTGACTGCTCAAATTTACACAGAACAAAAAATATAATATTAAATAGCATCATTTTCACTAACATCCTACTTACATATGCCTCACTATATGCAAAATATTAGTTAATTACATTTATTGACTCGAGTGGGAAAAGGTGACAATGATCTCCTTTTCGCCAAAGCAAAACAGAAAATATATGATCAGATATTTTATAAAATAGCCAAAGGCAAACATTGATATTCTCCTTCAACTCTTGAGTTTACACGTTAAATAGATTTTCCCCGCTTTATAACGTTGGTCTGTCCACATTTAGGGGATGTCTTTCTCAAATAAAAAAAATTACAATACCAAAGACTCTTCTGTGCCTTATCTATCTTAATGTTTTGAAACAAGGCGTCATCGGCTCGTGATTAGCATTAAAATATGTGAGATTGTGGGATTCTACCCTCTCGTGCGCCTATGAAACTGATCCATTTCCCGCAGTTGACGACTGAACCTTCCCAGAAGCCATTGTCGCTGACAATTGCGAAAGGGTCTCTTGCGTTGCATTCGCCTTAAGTATTGTATTCTCCACCTCCAATTGGTTTATTCGATCCATCAGTTCGGCTATCTTCTCCTTCAGCACCTCCACCTCCTCTCGCACAGCAAACATCAAGTGCGACTTGACCAGATCCTGCAATTTCACCAGACACACACACTTTTTAGATAAGCGCCCATTATCAATATTCCAGCGACAAAACTCACCATTGCTTGCTCAATTTTGTTGTCTATAGCCACAGCACTCGTTCCTGACGCACTGCAAAGAGACACAAGCCAGACAAATTAGTCACAGGGAAAAGCAACCCCAAAAATCTGGGCTCGCTCCGCAAAGGCGCCCATTTCCCAGGAAATCCCTGGAAAATGCGGCCAGACAAATCACCCAGCGAAGCCCACAATTCCACCCATGAAAAATCACTCACTTTCCTTCTCGCACGGATAATATCGCCCCCAAAACATCTAAGGCACTTTTTTAGACAAGCTGAAGCGATGCAAGTGGACAAAATCCGCACAAGGACTCGTGAATGGTGTGAAGAGATGCCATTTCTTGCCTCAATCGATCCACCATTCTCACCTCTTTCATTCAACTCTCACATTCGCTATCTTCTTTTTCCCTTTCCGCGTTAAATCCATATACGCCAAATTGTCAGTGGGGAAAAAAAGTCCTCTCCCTCGCACAATTTCGATATCATTTCCACCTTCTCACTCTCACTGACTGTCCCTAACACACTGTGTATGGCAGGCCAGAGTGAGACAGAGGGAAAACGCCTAGGAAAAGCGACACATGCGCATTTTCCTGCGTCCTCTGCACTCTCTTTAATTCATCGTTCGAAGTGTACCTTCTTTTTTTTAGATCCACCGTTTGTACCATGCAAAAATCACGTAGAGGAAAAATACCTCAAAAGGCCTTTCAGTATGCAAATTTATGCGTCATCTGTCAAGAAACAGTAAAGAATTCCGAGAAGCTCTCGCATTGAGGAAATAGAATTAGCGTTGAATTGATTTTCCATAATTAGATGATCATTCTAATTGGCTCGCACAAATTAATTTACAGTCAAAAAGAGAAATCTCCACCAGAACGCTCTCAACAGAATGATTAAAGTTGTAAGATATTTACTGGGAATTGAGATTATGAGATAGATTTAGCATGATGTCAGGCATTTCAAGCTTTCAATATAAATAAAATTTGAGTGCTTCAATAATTTTGAACATTTCACTTTGACAATAAAGTTTGTGATTATTTATACTAGATCGAAAACAGAAGCATCTGGAGTTCTAAACTTCGTTAATGAACAAAAGGATCTTCCAGATCATTTGCAATTCCCAAAGGTTAATGAAATAAACATCTAAAAACAGCTGCTGTGCAATGATAAATGTACCTAAATTCGTGGAGAAACATTCAAACACTCGATTAAAGACAATCCTGTGCATAAATAGTGAAGAAAGCCACCCAAGCCGGTTCATTGCAGTAAATTTAAATGCAAATATCTGCACATTGGTTCAAGTAATTTTGATTGCTTTCTGTGAGGAATCTTCAGGCAAAATTCCCTTGTTATTTGTTAAAGAACTTCTGCAGTGACTCCGCTGTCAAACCCATTGCGAAATTCCTAGGAAATCTTAACTTGAGCAACACCATTTGTAAGATTACAATTGCAATGCAAGATCAAATAGTTGAAACGTCATTAAATATTTGTGTATCTATCATTGAATCACGCTGTAGATTTCCTCTGAATTCAACTCATTTTCCGCCTCACTGCTGATAATACTCCACAACTACTCATTCCCATTGAGAAAACACAAAATGTAGCTCAATGGCCCCTTCGCCATAGCACCAATGCAACAGAGAGTGTCCAAGAGTCTTCAGCCAATGCATACATCAAAAACTTATGCCTCAAACCCTCAAACTTGAGGAATCTTCATTGTCCCGCTGCGAATGTGTGTGACTTGGTGTGAATTCAAGGGCGAAATAGAGCTTAAACAAAGTGGAAAGCAATCAATTCTAATTGCTTGGGAGACATTGTTGCAACATCAAAAAGAACAAATCAACTGTCATTGGCAAATTGACATCTTCTTCTATCATTTCGATGGCGTAATTCAGTGAATTGGTTGAGATTTCGTCTGAAACTGCCTCGCAAACTCTTCTTACGCCACTTTTGCATTGTATAATCGATAGACGATGTTTGTATAGGATGTTGTTGCTTTTAAAAAAAGAAGTGTCTCTCATAATTTCTCCCCCTTTGAATCGCACGGGCCCCGTCTGAAGGCCGCATTCACGTCATCATTCGAAACGCCGAGGAAGTGCGGCATAATTTTTGCTAAACACACACAGACTGTTCTCTCGTATGAAGAGCAGCACATTCCTGCATTGGTGATTTCCCCAAACGCGTCCGCACATCGCGGGCTTGTTTTCAATTCATACTACAAGGAGAGCCCACGCAATAATTGGTCTTATTGCGAATGTCACTGATATTTGTGCCACAATAAATTGATGCTAATTGAACAAATCCTCTCTGAGTGGGAAGTTTTCTAAGTTTCAATCCCGAGACCAGATCACTTAATTCCCCACCTCAGTACGCATTTGGCTGTTTTTCGACTGTAGAAATTGTCTTTGAAAATACCACAATTAATGCGAATTGGCGCCATAAACTATGAAGATACGTCGAGAAACTTTAAATCGATATTGCCGACAGACACTCTCTCACTAGAGAATACATTCAAACGAGTCAAACAATTATTCCATCACTCTCGCAACGAAAGGATAGGATGACAAATTCTTCCCACAATGCAACAACACAAAAAGAACTCACTTTTCGCTGTCGTCATTCGGGGGATTCTCATCGGGATTTGCCGGTGTGGCTCCACTTAAATGCTGCTGCTGCGGCTCAGGTGACACATCCACCTCCGCCACGGTCGCATCGGGGGTCATTTCAGGTTGCGACACAACACTCACAGTGGGCGAATTGACGCCACTCGACGTCGAGACGCAATTGCTGTCCGCCACCTCGGGGGCCACCCTTTCGCACACCACTGGCGGGCCCTCTGCCACCATGATCACTTCCTTCACCCTGTCCACCTCGGCAACGGGGTGGTGCTGACTAGAGGGCGCCTCCGGGCCAGTCTGGGCGGCGACGGAGTCGCTGCGGCGCACCTGGGGTGCCGTGTGATGCTGTTCCGCGGGCTGCGTGCTCTTCAAGTTAGCCAGACTGGCCTCCAGGCCGACCGAGTCACGGAAGTTGAGCAGATGCACCGGCAGCGTGGCGCCCTGGGTGTACTCCTGACTCGTGGTGTGTCGCCGTCCGCTCTGCGTGAAGGTCTGGACCGGCTGTGTCTGTCCTGGCGTGTGATGACGTGCAGACATCTTGGGCGGGCGCTTGGCGGCCGTCGCAATGGCCTCCTGGATCTGGTGCGACGGCATGCTCTGTGCCGTGTACACGGTGGCAGCGGTGGTTGCGATTGCCGGCAAGACAGCCACCTCTGGAAGCACGCCCGTTGTCACCACAGTGGCCACTGTGGAGTTGTAGAAGACCGCCGGTGCCGTCTGTCCGGGAAGAATGTTATTCACCTTTGCCGCGGAGTCGTTTATGCCCTCAATTGCGCCATCTGAGGACGCAGTGGCCTGCTGGAGAGTCGTGTGATCCAGATAATCCATGCACATCCAGCGACCACGCTTGAAGGGCTCTGTGCTCTCGATTTTCACCACCTAAAACAAATCATTCCCGGATTAGAACTCATCAAGTGGTGTTGCCTCCAGTACTGATCCTTTAAAGTTAGGCTTGAATTTATATTCGATTATATTAACCACGGAATGCCCAGCTGGTAGAAAAGGATTTTTCAGTAGTTTTACTTTCAAAAGTGTAATGCGAGAAACTACGGCAAAATGTAGGAAATAGAATAGAAATGATTCATTGAAGTGGGCGGGGTTTTAGAGAAGGCGGAACTGTTACACAGGAATTCAATTTTAGCAACATAGAGACCCTCAAAATTACTGATTGTAAGTTATGACCAGAGATTTGTAACGTGTGTGTCACGAAAAAGTGCTTTTATGGTATTAAAGTGAAGGGTGTGTGTTGTGAAAGCAGTTCACTACTATTTCCATGTGCAGCGATGATTTGATATTGTCATGAGAAAGTTAATTTAGGTGCTAATTTAGCAGCCCGATCAAAGACCCCTGAAATCAGATGAGAAAATAAATTCATATCTAACTTTGCACTCATGGGTTGATTCTCCATAAAGCAGCTGTTCTGTAAGAAATCATTCTTACCTTGAAGCGCTCGTTGCGTTGCTGGGCTTCTTTGCTCTCGACATCTCCCTGTTGCTTGGCATTGCCCACGATGTTGATGCCCGTGTCCGAGAGGCTCACGTGCACATCCGTGAGGGCAGCCGTGCCATTGAGCTCCGGGGAGACAATGGCCAGGCCGTATTGGGAGCTGGTGGGAATGACGGGAGCGGTGCCCAGCGCGTTGGATGAGTAGAAGACGTCCTCCTTGGAGAAGCTGGTGTCCTCGGAGAAGCTGGGCGTCTCGTTCCCGTGATCAGTCACGCGGCTGTTGTCATCCGTGTGGCTGTGGGACTCGTCCAGGTCGTCGGCGCTGTCCTCGCCATTGTCAGCATTGGGGCGCGTGCCCACCGTGACGGAGGTGATCTGGAAGGATGACGCTTTGGGCTTCCGGCTCACGGGCACATTGGGGCTGCTGCTGTGGCGCGCCTCCATCGAGGCCGCCTTGGCATCGTTGCGACGTGGAAGCACGTCCGCCTTGACCGCGTCCGGGAGCACCTTGGCCACCCCGTGCTGCTTCTGTTGCTTCGCAGTGGGACCAGTTGCTGTGTCTGCCATCTTCAGCATGATTTGATCATGTCCGTGGGTGACAAAAACACTTTTCCTATCGAGTTTTTCTCGCGCTCTCTCGCCTCCCCGGCCCCTCACACACACTCGCGACTCTGCATATTTTCTCTGGTCGTCTCGTCGTTTTTTCGCCTCTCCTGGTATCTTCTCACTGGCCCCCACCTCCCCACTCTCGCGCTGTCTCTCTCCCTCACCGAGAGACCACTTCCCGACTGCCCAGACACACAAACACCCAGCCAAGCACTGGCCAGAGATGATCGGGAAAACGGGCGATTGATGTGTGTTGGCAGGAGAAGAGAAAAATTTTTATATTTACACCATCTTTGCGCTATCACAAAAAGACTCTCTCTCTCTTTCGCTCTCGCTCTCTCGCGGATGGCACGAAAAAGCACAAATCCCAACTTTTCCGCACCAAAAACCCAAACAACGACACTCCACCAACACTTTAGGACACAACAGCTGAGGCGCTGGTACTCTCGCGAGAAGATTTCGCCGTGAAAATATCTCGAGAAAATAGCAAATCAATTTTGGGCAGCCTTCGTCGTTCTTTTTATCGCACACAAAAAACTCACTGACAGTGACAGCTGTCAGCCTCTCACGATGTGGTGGTGAGTGCCCGCGGGTCGTCTCGGCACCCACGGGCCTGCCTTCGGCTCACGATGTTGCGCGAAGGTGGCCGATTGAAGATGGTGTTGCGTGTCCCAAAATGGGTCGTTTTTTCATCGTGGGACAGTGCCCCAGCGAACATACGCTAATTGGCTTCCATAGACAAGTCTGAGGCGAATCCTAAGGAAAAGTAATTGAATGTTAGGCTGAACTGAGTGCATTTTAATTCTGCTTATACCAATGATCAGAGGAAGGCGAATAGATGAATTCTGATAGCATTTTCTATAAAACACTCTATGCCACTCTATGAATTCCACATATTTCTGTGATACGAATTGATAAGCTTGTCCTGTATAGTTCTATAGTTCAGATATAATGCTATGGGGCAGCGAAGGTGTATAACAGAATTATACTAGTCGCGCGCTGTGCTGCCGGAAGATTCACGGTTTCGCACAGTTCTTGTTTATCTCTGAACTCCAAAAGGCATTACATAATTTCTGTTGACCTTCTCGCTTCCCTGAGGAGAAGGAGTCACGATGACACTGGCGGGTAAATTGGCTTTTGTAACAGGTGAGGCTGTACCTATTTGTTCCCTGCCTTGGGAAGTGTCTAGTAACGTTCAACAAGTGTGCAGGTGCCGGTTCTGGTATCGGCAGGGCGACATGCCGCATCCTGGCACGTGACGGAGCGACTGTCATTGCAGCGGATCGGAATCTGGCCACTGCTGAGGAGACTGTGAAGCTTCTGGACAATCCGGAGCACTCTTCCGTAAAGGTAGAGGTGGACTCATCGTCGAGCGTCCGGCAGGCGCTGGCCTTCTGCCTGGAGAAGTACAAGAAGCCCCCGTCAGTGGTGGTGAACTCTGCCGGCATCACCAAAGACAGCTTCATCCTGAAGATGCCCGAGGAGGACTTCGATGCGGTGATCAATGTGAATCTGAAGGGCTCCTTCACCGTCATGCAGACCTTCGCCAAGTCAATGGTGGAGCAGAACACCGGCGGATCCATCATCAATCTGTCTAGCGTTGTGGCCAAATCCGGAAACCTTGGTCAGGCCAACTACTCGGCCAGCAAGGCGGGCGTCGAGGCGATGACAAGAGTGGCAGCGAAGGAGTTCGGCAGATTCAACATCCGTGTCAACGCCATCCTGCCGGGATTCATCAACACCCCGATGACGGGCACTGTTCCGGACAAGGTCAAGAATATGATCATCCAGCAGACGGCGCTGAAGAGATTCGGAGAGCCTGAAGGTGAGGCTTGTTTTTATGTTCTTATCGCAGAACTTTATCTACTTTTATTATTGCCAATTGCCAATTTAATGTGTAACTTATTATCTCTTAGAAATTGAAAGTTGTACTTTAAGTACGTTAAGGCTCGAATGAGAGTGTTTTAGGGTTCATTTTCGGCGTTTGATTAAACATATGATGATGTTTCTAAATTAAGATGATGAGTTAGGATGCTTATGAATGAATTAGCAGGTGTTTTCGTGATGAGTTTAGGAATTCCCTTGAGTATCTTCCGATGTTTGTTGTGCCTTGAATGTTACTTAAAGATATCCAGAAGTTGTAACTTGCGTTGGCGGATTGTGTTCTCATATCAATCACCCATTCACGTTAATTCTCATCCGCATCCTCGCAGAACACAAGTCCGTCTCAATTATTCACGGCTCATTGGGTATTCCATTAAACTGCTCATTGGCATTAATTGATTCTGACTGAGGAATATTTCTACCTCAAAATTCCACGTAAAAGCAGTGGAATTAGTATGCAAAAAGTAACTTGACCTTCTTGCGGAGATGAAGTAAAGAAAAATCCTTGCGATGTTTTGCTAATTTTTATTTCTCATTCTTTGACATTATTTAATGGATATCCTCTTTCTCTGTCGGTCCATTCATTGAGACACAATATATAAAACACACTTTGGAGATGTCCTTTTAATGCTATAGCACAGGAAAAATCACGAGATTTCCTTCGTGTGTGAAGAAAATGTCCAATAAAACGTGACCTTTTTCTGGTCTCACATTTGATTGTTTATCTCACGAAATGCTTCTCAAACATTTCAATTTTGGTTTTTTTTTATGCAATGACAGTGTATATATAAGGTATGCTCTTGTATTTGCCACTCGTAAAAGTCAACATTTATATAGTTATTTATGGCTTTTGACCTCCATTCGTGTGTGGATCTCTCATGCTCTTTGTGGGGGTGTTTTGAGCGGAAATTTGAGGGCTGTGGAATATTTTTGACATGCGTAATTATGAGAGGAAATCATTCAAGTGATTTCCAATTATATTTCAATGCTTTTTCAATTTCATTCTGGTGTGTTTATTCAATTTCAAAGTGAAAAGCGTAATTAATTAAAATTTTGAATCCTTAATAAGTACGTTTTTTTGTCCCTAAATTTAGCTTATCAATGAGAATTTTATCATTGGTTTAATCAAGAAGACATTCCCTAAATCAATAGATAGCCTTTAATCATGTCTTCTCCGTGCACGAAAGGTGGATCACAGAGAGAAGAGAAAACATTCTTGTGAAACTTTACTCAATAAATAACTTACTTCCACTTGTTCGGCAATTGATTTTGTTTGTATGCCGAGAAAACGTGTGGACATATTTTTTTGGGGAAAATTTCAAAGGACGATGAAAGTAAATAGAATTGGACGGAATGAAATGCGTAATGTTTCTTATAGAAAGCAACAGCGAGTTTGCACATAGTTTTTAAAGTGAATATTAAAGCTTCGAAAGTTTTACGTAAAAATTCGCGAAATAGCGTTCTTTAATCTAATGTTGACTTTCTGTGCCTCTTTTTTGCAGAAATCGCCGAAGTTATTGCGTTCCTGGCATCCGATAAAAGTTCTTATGTCACTGGAGCCTCGATTGACGTGATTGGAGGGTGAGAGAGATATTTTTTTTTTATTATTATTCTCCAAACTGCCATCACGACTCCGTGTCGATGGGCAAAAAACTCAATCACAGAGTCGGTTTTGCGGGTAAATAGTGGCATTTATGAGTGGGTTTTTCTCGGTATGCGCCAAAAAATCGTTGTTCTTTTGTATATACACAAACAGAGATAAATAAAAAGATGCAAAGCAATTTTTCACGTATAATTTGTATTTAAAATGTCGTAAAGAGCTTTTTTTGTTGTTTCTTTGTATAAGAAAATTCAATAATTTATTTTGTGCAATAAGAAGAGATTAAAGTTTTTTTTTTATCATGTCTTACTCTTAATAAGATGCATTTTAATTTGCCTATATTCGAATATTTTTGTTGATCATCCTTCATATCTTGTCCACTTGTCATTATGCTAAAAAAGTCACAATTTCTGTCCTTATCAAATGTCGTTACGAGGAAATGTGTTGAAAAAGGACAAGAGAGCGTATTTTCTTTGAAACTGATTGAGCCTATCTAAGATGTATTTTTTTTTTATATTTTTAGCAGCTTATCGATATTTAATCTTTTTACTATATTAAAGTAATATAAGAATTAATCTTTACTCGGTATAATTTAATGTCATTTGATTTTGTTTCAATAGAAATCATTCATCTTTCAAGTACAACACGAATATTTCGAGTCAATATTCGAGGAAAAAAATCTTTCACGTGTTCCTCTCGTACATTCATTTTTTTGTTATCTTAAATCTCTCTAGAATATCAATGTGGATTTTTCTTTATCTGACAATATCATTGGCGAATGTGAAGATTATCCATGCGATGCAATGTTGGATGGATGGTATAAAAAAAGGAGAAAAGGGAGCGTAGAAATAAAATGCACAAGTCTCTTAAATGTTGGTGATAGTCACAGAATTGGTGTGTCCATTCCCAAGCAAGAACTTCTTGTCACTGGAAAGGGATGAAACAATCTCGCCACTTCTCTCGTCGTATCGATTGTCCTCTTCGAGTATTTGCTCGAGCAGAATATCCCCGCCGAGTGGTCCTGCAAAGAGAGCGAGAGGAGAAAATGGGGCTCATGAGAAAATCCTCAATGAGATGATTGTTGAGATTTCTATCTCGTGCATATCACATTACAAGCGAGAGTGCTTCTTAGGCTCCAACTCCACCCACTGTCGCGCGCTCCGTCTAATCGCCGAGAAATGCGTGATAAGTTTGTTAACAATATTCTTTTACAGCAAATAAAAAACGCTTCATAACGCTTTTCGAGCGGTGGGAAAAGTCTGGATGAAAATTAATTACGGAGAAAAGCGTATAAAGGCTAAAGTTTTATGAGGGCTGAAGCTGTGAAAAATGCACACCTCGTTTTCTCTCTATTGCTCAGGGGCAAGTTTGTGCGGAATTTGTCGAGAATTGACTTTATTTTCCAACTAAAGCCGTAATTATTCTCCCTCAGGAAATTAATAAAGAAAAAAAAACAGGGTTCTGAATAAAACATTCCCATTTGCAGCTGATGTTGAAAATGTTTCGACAGAATGAACGAAATGATGAATGAATTATGGAATAAGATTTCTTTGTGAAAAAAAAACAATTTAAATATATTCAAATATATAAGTGAGAAATTTGGACACTGTTCTGTATAGAAACATGATCTGGAAAGCTCTGAGAAGAAAGACAAGCTCAGCTTTTTAAGAGAAAAATGACATAAATAGTGGTCGTGCAAGAAGCTGCCAAGTTTTATGACTTTGACTATTTCAATAGGATGAAATAATGGACTCTGTGACAAATGAAAGTATGCGACAGTATAGAGTCGCATTACATCGTTTTTTTCACTTAATCAGCACAATTTCCTCATTAGAAGTAGAGCAAAATATGGTTAATTGCTATTTCTTCGGGTTGGCAATCATCCAGATTTTTCAGTGACCACGAAATCCCGCGTTATATCAAAAACCGGGGTGTTTCTCAGAAGATTCACGACACGGATAACATAGTAGGCGGCGAATCACAGTGGGCGTGGCTTGCATTTATTTAAAAACTCTTCTCACGTAACGTGTATTGCTTAGAAGCCCCGAAAATGTGTTATAATTCGTGAAACATCCCATTTTTATCAGTTAATGGACATTGCGCATAAATTTGTAATTTAATTTGCTCCCCAGAAGCTTAATATTCACGTGTCTTATGGCTTGAATATATTTCTTGGGAAAACAAGGACAGAAAATATTCACTCAGTCCGTGATCATTTGTGAATAGAGTCAGAGCTGACAAGAAGTTCTCCAAGTCATTCAATTTGTGCGATTGAACCAGTTAATTACACAGCAAATGCTCAGCATACAAATGACCCCCGAATTTAAGCGAGACTGTGGATCCACTTTGGGGGTGGCAAGACTCACCATCGTGCGTGTTTGTTGAGGAGAGGGGCTCGATGGAGGATTCCGTTGCTGGCGATTGGAGCAGATCCTTCTGCAGGCGATTCTTGTGGTGCTGACGCGTCGCCAGGCCGCCCGTCTCGACGTCCCGCTCGAGCCGGTGTCCGGATCGGGATCGAGTGAGCTGGCGCTGCACATAGTCCTCTAGTTCGGACTCTTCGCGCTTGCTTATGAAGGAGTTGAGGATGATAAGGAAGATTCCCAGCCCAATGGCGAACGCTCCGGTGCACACCAATTCATTCCACCACGTTTCCCAGGCTGCAAATTGAAAGCGTTGCGGCAAATCACGTCGTGATTGTGGAAGCAATTTCGAAAATAGAGCTACTAAATATTAATTAGGGAATAATTTAGTGGGCGAAAGGTTAAGATCACCAAATGTGGGATTTTTCCAAGTCTGAGATTCTCAAGCATTTAACATTTACGACAGCTTAATATATCGATTTACGCTGAATGACATATAATAACATTAAAACCCTGAACTCTCTTAAAACTTCAACATTTCCCGTCTGTTCGCGGAAAAACCGCGGAAACGAGGCTACTTATTCTTTAGTAGCCCATATTAGAGAGAAATTGGACATTAAATTTCATGCTACGCGAATCATTGTGGGCTGTTGTATTCCAAAATAATCGAAAAAAGCTTTCCAGTGCAGGAAACATTTGATATAATTATAGTAAATCATTTTGCAATATGTATTTATGACTTTTCCTTCAGGCCGTGAGAAAGCTTAGTCAGCAGCCCTTTTTCGCTCTTCGCGGTCTTTGTTTTCCTCCCAGCGTTCGCGTCAATTAGAGCTTTTTATTGATACCAACTTCAGCTGATTTTCACCCTCCAGATAATTTCCATGAGCTTTTATGCATCGCTAATGCCCGAGTAATTCCTCAATAATCCTCTCTGGAGCGCTCTCAAAATCACCCTCTCGTTATACATTCAGTTATGCCGCCAAGTGACACCCTTTCCAGCTCGTCAATTCACTTAAAATCATCTTTCATCCCGAGAGCAGCACATTTAATTAAATGCATCGAATGAATTTGAAATGCAGAGTGATTTCTTGAGCAATTTCTGTGCTCTACATTTTTCTACGTGATAATATGCGCGGAATTTGTCGTCAATATGATTTGTATTATTGGGCTTTGCTTTGTTAAGAATTCTGGGCGGATTTTTGCAGAGATTAAATTGTATAAATCAATTTTTGAGCAACAACATTCATATGAATAATCATTTGGGATTTCATGAAGCCTCGTAACATTTCATCATGCGTGAAAATTTAATAATCAATAAACGAAGGCGGTTATCAAATGCGAAAATTGTAATAAAATCGCTTTTTACTGGCTCAAATGAGAAATTCGAGTTTTATCATATTTGGCTGAATTTTGTAAATGCGCCCCGAAGGAATTTTCCATGTTCTTTTCATATCAAAAGCAACATTTTGAATTCATGCCAAATCACCCGAAAAGATCTCATATTTCTCGTAGAAGCATTTTTCTGACTCAAAAGAATAAATCAACGCCCTTTAATTCGCCCCTTTGTCCCAAACACTCCGCAAATTGCAAATAATTTCCACGCGACAAATCAATGAAATTTGTGTCTGTAAAAAATGTCTCTATCACTACCCTTTTTCGTCTGCTTGAATGGAAACAATTCTAAAAATGGACGCAACGAGGGAAAAGCTCTTTGCATGGAAAGTGTAGTAGAAAATAGAAGACTTTTGTATACATAAAACTTGTAGCAAAAATGCTCATTAAGCGGCCAGAAGCAGCGCTATGTTGAGTGACTGGGGAAAATTTGAAATGAAAATGTATAAACGCAATTCAATTTCCTCTCTAATTGCGCGCAAGGGGGCGTCTCTGCATCAGATAGTGACAAAGAGTCGTGTGCTAATTGCATAGCATTGGAGAGAGGCTTTAAAGTTGCGCAAGGAGGTGAAATTTCGAAATATTTCCTCTCACCGAACAAATTGAACGACGACATGTCGTCGGGCAGTATTCCGGCGCCCAGGAGGAAGATGCCGAACACGACAAACACCACGCCGATGTGCAGCATGCCGATGCTGGAGACCACTTGCTGGTCAAGCAGCGAACTCTCCGTGTTGCGCTTCCGGAGTCCGTATCTGTGCCGGCGCCGCGTCGAGGATGCATTTGTGTCCAGGCTGTCGGCGCTCTGGAGGCTGTATCGTCGCTCCCGAGTCCTCTTCTTCTGGTCATCGCGCCTCTTGCGCTGCCGTTTGACGGCCAGCGCCGAATGGATTCCCACAGCGTGCATTTCCGCACCTGTTCACGCACCTGCAAATACAAGAAATGCGTTAAAGGTCGCCGTTGAAAGAAGGAGTTGAGTAGACATCCAGTATATATGAAGTGTTTGTATTCGGGAATCAGCAGTGCTGAGATCAGAAGAAGTCTTGTGAAGGGGATTAAAGTTAAGAGTTAAACGGTTTAAACTCAAAGGTTCTCAAGAAGAAAAATTTCTGTTGCACGGTATCGACGAGTCTTAAATACAAAACTCTTTATGATATTATTCTCGACCTACTTATTGTTAGGTATTAAGTACTTTTCAAGTTGTGGATGCGAACTTTGTAAAGTTTACAATGAACTTTTCAAAGTTTGTGTTAATTTTATTGTGGGAAATATTCCGAATAAAGTTGTTCCTGGGATTGGCCAAAAAGAACTTGATGTTCCTTTGGAAAATCGTTTATAAAATCATCAGTATTCAAGGATTTCTCAAAAATTTCATTAAATATTCCGCAAAATAAGAGTTAGAATCTGTCTTAACGATGAAAAAGAACTCTACTCAATTGCGGTGTATGTTTCAACACATTTCTGCAATTTTAAATGCAAATTTTTCCTGTACAGTCCGAAAGAGAGAATATTATTTGAAAAGTCAAAAACTTCACTAAACTTCTCTATTATTTAAAAGTTTCCCTTCACTCTATCTTCTCTTCTAACTTTATTATCTTTGTTCTATCGTGTGCAGAACACACATATTTGTTATCACGCTTCTCCATAAATCAACTGGAAGCTCTTTTCAGAGCAGCTTTATCCGTTTTCATCACTTTTTCTGGGAATTTAATTGCCGAAAAGCTTTCTTAAGTCTCCCTTCGCATTAGCTTTGTATTTTTTAGGATCATTTAAAAAAAACAAACATCTTCTTCTTAATTTCCAGTGAAAATTGCGAAATACAGGTCTCTCAATTTCCCCACCCAGCGAAAAAAGGGGAGTACAAAGGAAAGCACCTGTAAGAGAGTCACCGCGTCCGGAAAGAAACGGGGCGCTCCACGCCAGTGGCGAAACACCCGCCAGAAGTTCCGTCTTCGCCTCTTGTGCTCACGTACGAAAGACACTGATAATATTGAGAGAAATCTCACAATTGCGACTCAACAAAAATCAATAACTCTCCGATTTATCGTGACGCCTTTTTTCGTTCGGGAATGTTATCCTTTGGAGCTTCCACAGACACGATGGAGCTTTTATCACGCACTATTGCCGCGAAAGTCCTGCCAATCGGCCCACCTTTGGGTGAATTTTATGCACAAAGTCCACTGATAACAACTATGGCTCTCTCTTGGGCCAACACACTTTTCATCGTGCGAGTTTTCCTCGACGAAAGAGAGTAAAAATAAATAAAACAACCCCTCTTCGGAGTGTCCTTGCGCCACAAAGTATGCCAAACGGGAGTCGGATGATTTGGGTGGGAGGGCAAAAGCTCACACGAAGGCGCCTCGCGTGAGGCAATACTATATTCGGTGTGTGGGTTGTTTGGCCGCCTGGTGGCGAGAGGCTGAAACTCAGTGGAGGCTGTCAGGAACGCGGTGAGTTTGTTTATCGGCGGAAAAGCGTGAATATCCAAGAAATACCGTGATTCATTGGCTGAATTCAGTGGAAATCACAAAGGAAAGAACCAGTGGAAGCTTTTGTACAGAAATTTTTCCAAATAGCAAGGTACTTAAAGCGTTACCGCAGTGATAAGAGAACCTAACCTAGAATGCTGTATTGACCAAACGTTTCTGTATTGTTAGGCAGAAAACCCTTTCCGGATGGCTGACGGAGATAAGCTGGAGGTGCGTGAAATCACCAGAATCGAGAGAATTGGTGCGCATTCGCATATCCGAGGCCTGGGGCTGGATGATGTGCTGGAGGCGAGGAGTATCTCTCAAGGAATGGTGGGCCAGAAAGATGCTCGGAAAGCGGCTGGAATTATCGTTCAAATGGTGCGCGAGGGGAAGATTGCTGGCCGGTGTATCCTCATAGCCGGTGAGCCGAGTACTGGCAAAACCGCTATAGCCGTGGGAATGGCTCAGGTGAGTGAGATTTTCGCTCAGCAAAGAAGCAGATTGGTGAATTTAGTCTCTGTTTTCAAGGCTCTGGGACTGGAGACGCCTTTCACGTCCATGTCTGGATCTGAGATCTACTCGCTGGAGATGAGTAAAACCGAGGCGCTGAGTCAGGCACTGCGCAAGAGTATCGGCGTGAGAATCAAGGAGGAAACGGAGATAATTGAGGGTGAAGTTGTGGAGATTCAAATTGATCGTCCGACATCTGGCACTGGCCAAAAAGTGGGCAAAGTGACGCTAAAGACAACGGAGATGGAGACGAACTACGACCTGGGTAATAAGATCATCGAGTGTTTCATGAATGCCAAGATTCAAGCCGGCGACATTATCACTATCGACAAGGCGTCTGGGAAGGTGAACAAGCTGGGCAGGAGCTTCACGCGGGCGCGCGATTACGACGCCACGGGCATTCAGACGCGCTTCGTGCAGTGCCCGGAAGGAGAGCTGCAGAAGAGGAAGGAAGTTGTGCACACAGTGACTCTTCATGAGATCGACGTGATCAATAGTCGCACTCACGGCTTTCTGGCACTCTTCTCCGGCGACACTGGCGAAATCAAGCAGGAAGTGCGCGACCAGATCAACAACAAGGTGGCCGAGTGGCGCGAAGAGGGCAAGGCAGAGATAAATCCTGGCGTGCTGTTCATCGATGAGGCGCACATGCTGGACGTGGAGTGTTTCTCGTACCTCAACCGCGCTCTGGAAAGCGACATGGCGCCCGTGGTGATCATGGCTACGAATCGTGGCATCACGAGGATTCGCGGCACTGATTACAAGAGTCCTCATGGCATTCCCATCGATCTGCTCGACCGCATGATTATCATTCGCACGGTTCCGTACTCGGAAAAAGAGTTCAAGGAGATCCTGAAGATTCGCTGCGAAGAGGAGGATTGCCAGATGAGCACCGACGGACTCACCGTGCTCACGAGAATCGCCACTGAAACCAGTCTTCGGTACGCCATTCAGCTCATCACGACGGCCAACCTCCTTGCGAGGCGTCGAAGAGCCACTGAGGTGACCATCGAGGACGTGAAGAAGGTGTACACACTCTTCCTGGACGAGAGTCGCTCCAGTCGGATTCTGAAGGAGTATCAGGATGAGTACCTCTTCAATGACGCCGGATCTGGCCCGACCGGGAGCAACACGAAAGTCACGCCGATGGACGTTGGAGACAATTGATGGTAATGATTTGTTTCTTCTGTAATTTCACTGCGTTCCATATTAAATGATATGATTTTCTCACATCCAACGACTTAGTTGTGATTGGGCAGAAAGCAAAAGCTCAGCAACGCATCAAACATTACAAACGATTTACATTTTCTACGCCACTGATTCGATTTAAGAGTCTCTTAAATTTCCTAGCAACCAGTTGATATGTTTCTAATTCCCTCCAAACATTTGTAGAGTTTCCACATAAACTTTCCGTTTAGCGATCATGAGAAAAGGAGAAAAACAGTCTCAATCGTCTCAATAAAATGAGGCAAAGAAATGCGCTGAAAGGGAGGAAAATTGCGCAATTTCCAGTGCAAAACAATGCTTCGCATAACATTTTAATATCTGTTTGCAATGGGCTTTTCAATCAATGTTTAGTATCATGTTTATAGTTTATTTCTTATGCCTTGCGGCCAGTTTTTTTCACCTCTCCTTTTCACTCCAATCTGTGGCATGATTCCTTGGGGCGATATTGTCTCTCTCTCGGCCAACAAGCGCGTCCTTCCGTTTCACTCTGCCTTGTGGAAGCCGCGCTCGTGTGTGAACAAGAAAGGTAGCGTGACGAAAAGAGGGCAGAAAGCACTGGCAAAGCGAGTCAGAGTGAGAGAGAGAGAGGAGCAAAGGAGAAAAAGAAGGAGCGTGTAGTTAAGAAAACAATTGACATTACTGTAATTGTGTTAAGCCAGACACTTACGAGCTCGAGCAGCGAATTGTTTTCCATGATAAAGTAATCAGTGTTGCTTGTTCTCTCTTCTCCGCATCATGTGCTCTCTTTCTCGCGCGCCTGATGAGCTTTTGATTTCAAATGGCGTCGCTTCGGTGAGAATTTAATTGAAAGAGCGGCCAAGAACGCAATTTTCACGACTTTTCTTCCCTCCTTCGGCACATATTTCGCCTCTCCATTGCATCCCAATCATCATCCAATTACTTTTGACTGTCGAGCATTTGAAGAAATGATCGTTTTCGCATGATCTCTGTCGATCCATCGCGCGATTGTCTTTTTCCTGAATTGTACGATGATGATGATGGAAATGAAGAAATTAAAGGCAAGTCAGAAACATAATACAGTCATGCTAATGAAATGAAATTAATGCTTGTCAAGAGAGAGATTTTTATCAGCAATCAAGCGCTCAATTGTGGAGAATGTAATCGATGGATGAAAAATGTCGACGAAGCAATGGAGTGTTGAGAAAAATTTACCACCATTTTCTGGTTTTCACCACAAACATTGAATGAATGGTAAGAATTTTCCATTTCACTTTCAATTGAAATTGATGGAGGAAGAGACTTGGCTTCACTTCAGAGTAAATAAGAAATTAATTGATTGTGGAGGAAATTGAAGGCTTTTTGTGGGATTTTTTTCCGCTCAATCATTGTGCATTTAATCAATAGGATTCGTGGTAATTCTTAAATTTTTAAGTTGTCTTGAGCTTCCACTTAAAAAATGAGCACAACCAGCAAGTCTTCATATTGGCCATTGATTAAGACGCAATAATTATAGCAAAGATTAATTCATTTGAAAGGCCGATGAGAAGATAAATCTATACGAAAATGCCACCAATTGAGAGATAAACGCGATTATTTTGAAATATCATACGCGCTGACAAAATAAATAATTCACCAGGTAGTAAACAGATAAATTAGTCTTGTCTAAAATTGCACGATTCTTGCACAACTGACCATTTTTTGCCAATCTCACGCAGATAAATTTCATCAAATCGTTTACATATACTTTTTGCACAATTTCTCACTTGACAAATTCATTCATAATCACTTCTTTCTTCCTCGACACTATCAGAAAACGGCGCCTTTTGTGCCGTGTGGCGACTCTTTATGTAATCCTCATTGAGGTGTGAGCGTACATTTTCATTGCGTCTGTAATTTAATCCACACAAGAACCATAGAAATTATATTCAAAGGCGGAAAAAAGAGGCGAGGAAGGAAAAAAGTTCGAGGCACAAAGACGTAATTGAATGAAGTGACAAATAAAAGGGAAGAAAAAATATTTTCGGTGTAATTTGCCGTCGGTTCTAATGTGCGTGCACTTTCATGTTGAATCCATTAATTATTTCTTCACAAAAGTAATTTTGATATTTTTCATGCGTGAATAAATTTGTCGCTTTTTTCATCGTCATCATCTTGGATGGTCTCACAAAATCTAATGCTCAGTCGTCGGCAATTTCTGAGACATGGAAAAAAGAGGGAAATATCGCTTAAATAACGAAAGCGACGAACTTTTTCACATTGTGCTTTTGATGAGGGGTTAGAAAAAGCACACGCAAAAGTACTTTATAATTATCAATAATTACACCATTAATTGCAAAAACGCTTGGTGAATTGATGAAGAAGATCGGAAGATGCAAATGATGTGGGAAATTTTATTGTGAAATGAATTTTTTAGATAAAAATGATGTGTTGTATCTAAATTTTGCTTAACGAACACCATGTAACTGCATTAAGATTGCGTTAATATCAATTCTGGGCTTAGATTGTATGTATTAGCAAGTCAATTACATATCATATTAAATGCCTATAGACCTTATATAAAAGTTAATGTCATGTAAATAAATATTTTGGAGGTAACGTAAATTAGAGATTTGAATTCGTATATCTTTTTCAGTAAAAATTGAATGCATTTGTTTACAAAAATAGCTCATTGTCGTATTTTTTAATTGTAAATTCTTCTTCTGCAATAGATTTTTATGAGTTCAAAGACGCATTTTGTGGAAAACAGATCAAAAAGTATTGAATATGATTAATTTGAGTTGAAAAGAAAGTCCTTTATGTATGTTTTATATGAAATGCAGAGCTCTAAAAATTCTATTCAAACTTCTTCATTTAAACTTTGCTTCAAATAATTTAATAATTGTCATCTAAAGATTTTCTTTATACAATATAGATGTTTGCAGAGAAAAAGGAATTTAAATAATGTAGATAACGAAATAAAGGAGTTCTGAGCACAGATTTTAGGTTCATGAGTAATATTAATTTGAAATTACCGCATATTTAGCCTCAATTTGCATAAGTGAATATGATTGCAAGACTCAGCTAAAGGGGTTGAATCTCAACGCCCACACTAAACCCTTGCCAATACGGAAGTTTCCGGTGTAGATCATGGCGTTTTTGTGCTGATTGTAGGGTAATCGCCAATGTCACACTGCTGTTCCGAAGGCAAATATTGCCTTTCAACGGCGCCGAAATTATTTTCTAAAACTCTAGCCCACATTTGACTTTCTCTCTAGTCTAGAGAAGATCATTTTATCACCAGCAATATAATTGTTTGTGTGCAAAGCGGAGCTACTTAATAACAGTATGCTAATGGAGCCCTAATTTCGTCATTAAGTTTTACTGCTCAGCAATTTGGATCTGTTCGATATTCATGAGTATAAATCCGTGTCGAATGACGAACCCCCGGGAGTCGGTGAGTAAAATGGCGGGTGAGCAGAGCGAAAAGAGTGCGCGCGAATGCGACTCCATTACGGTCATTTGTTGACTTTTTTCCGCCGCTTCTATGTTCCTCAATCCCTGATGGCCATCCAGGAGGAAAAGGGAAGTCTCGCGCATTTATTGGATTTTCAAGTTAAAACTGTGGAATTTCAATAAAAAGTGCCTCTATCGCCATCTAAAGAGGTGAATTTTATAGCGTCAACAAATATTGTGTTTAATAGCCGAAGTCTCCTATCGCGACTGGGAGACAAAATAGATAAATTCAGGTCTTGAGATCCAACAAAACACAACAAAATACTTTGGGATTTTTTTCAGGTCCGCACCTTCTCGGCATCGACATGAAGACAGAGGGAGAACAAGGTGATCGGAGATTGAAGGAGAGAAATTTGTTGGATCGAATGTTTTCAAATCATCTTCAGTATGTTGTATGTCATCATCATTTTCAACAGAATGCCCGTGAGAGCCAATTGGAGGGAAGGTGCACTCGGTGGAGGCACAAAAAAAGGACACACATCGGAGATCGGCGCGCGGAGGCAAAAAAGGGCAGACAAGCTTAGAAATTATTTTGTTGACGATTCTGTGGATGCCCGGCCGGGCGGCAGAGGACCAGGCCGGCGGTTGGGATGGCGGAGGGAGGGACACAAAGAGGCCAGGCAGAAGAGAGAAACATTACAAAATGATAGAGCCTGTGGAGCGCTTTTTTATCTGATTGATGGTACACCATTTAAAAGGAGAAGAAACATTTCTACCTTTGGCTTTATTTTATGAGCTTCGCAATATAATATTATTAAAAACTTGAACACTATATAAGCGTTCGGATGCGGAGAAGAGCCGAGAAGAAAAAAAAACCATTAGATTTTTAACATTTTCTCTCATTCTCATTCGATGGTAATATTCATGGGTTGTTAATGCTCATTTTTTAAGCTTTTTTTCCACCGGCCGTCTTCCACCTCGAATAACCATTGGGAGGCCAGAGAGAGTGTCGGCGTCTCAATATCTTCTTCTTTTGCCCGTGATTCTCAATCGGGAAGGCACTGATATTGAAAATGAGCAGTTTCAATTCAAATAATAGACTTGGTTAGAAAGACGTGAAGACCTTGTGTGGATCTATTAACATAGCATGTAAAGAATTTTAAAATAAAAGCAAAGTAATTGTATATAAGCGAAGATTTTTCAGGACAAAATTCATATTTTCTTAGTAGATCATTAGTTGGCCGTAATTTGAGAAACAATCAACAGATTTTTCCTCACAGAGACGCAAAACAAGCAATTGCGAATTATTTCTTTCACCTTAGAGTAACACTCTCACGGAAAAAAACCTCTTTTGAACCCTAATAAACTGTTAACATAAACATCTTGACTTCTATTGGAATTGTCAAATTCTTCTTGAAAGTTCCTCACATTTTCTGAGCTGAATCACGGTGTGTTTATGCTTCTCAAGCCTATCGAATTGCTTTTTCTCCTTAATGTACTCCTCTTGAGATTTCTTCTCTGTCTTAATCACATTTTTCGTTTTAACTCCCCTCGCACCGCGGCCCCTCTTCTTGATCTTTGGCGGACAAAATTATTCTATACCGCAGTTGGACACCGAAAAGCAAAAATACATAATGAAGCTGAAGAGAAGATGGCCAAAAGAGGGAACAACTAATAAAAATGAAGAAGTTCATCCTCCCTCCCGTTCAGCCACGGCGGAGCTTCAACGAATCGGAGAGTAGAAGATCACATTAAATTTATTTCCCAAACATGAAATTAAAACTCCAAATGCCGAGCTACACAAGAAGCATCACAAGAGTCCAATGGACACCGAAATGCGCTGTTGGGCGATGAGCAAAAACAACCACTCAGACTTCATTTCAAATTGATTGAGATTTTAGGATGGAATTGAATTATTTGGAAGACAAACAGGTTGAGGAATCTGGGAATCTTCATCTCATAATTTATGCAGAATCACTGTGAGAGAAAAAGGAGAAAATCAAGTGAAGAGAGTTGCCTCCTTTTTTTCAACATCTCAAGCCAATCCGAAGAGGCGAATTTATATTTTAATTAACTGACAAAGCTATTAAATTGATTTTTGATTGATAAACTCGCGGAGAAGTGATGCGAAATTGAGGTGAAGAGTCAATTGAGATATTTTAATTGAAATCACAAGAAAAGCGCTCAGTTCGAAACCCCCGCGTTGGCTCTATATGTAAATTTTTGGCGTGCGTTTACCTCATACAGAACTGCTTTACATCAATATTTGTGGGCTGAAATAGTATTGTTATAAAATTGTGGATATTTTTGTATGGATTCTTCAAACGAAATAGAGCAATTGAGAGCGAGTCTTTGCGTGTGGCGCAAAATATCTGGCGAAACGAAGAGGCCAAAGTCAAATTAGAGTCAGAAAATCGTGAATTGGAGCCCCAAAGCTTCTCCACAAAAGAATATGACAAGTAAATGGGCCGAAGGGAGACGATATAATTTCAAATTGAGCACCTTTTTGTATCCTCTCGGCCGTGTATCGATTCTGGGGGCTGCTTTGTGGCCTAATTAATTACTGTCTGTTGGCATTTCGGAACGTGCCTGAATAAGGAGTTTTAATTGAAAATTCCCTCCATTCTCTTTCACGTGGAGTGACGAGGTGCCAGATGATCACTGGAGAGAATATAATTTGTATAATTTTGAATTATCGCCACAAAAGCGGAGTCACAGCGTAATAATCCATTAAGCATGTTCCCAGATGGAGGCTTCGGATGAAGCATTTACTTGCGGTGCTCACTTTATTGTGTTAAAATCATAATGATGCTAAACAAGGGACTGGCGAAATTATGATGCTGGCCATAAATTCAAACCCAACAAGGGTTCTTTTGTCGCTAACTGCCCCCTTGTGCGCCAGAGACTTGCAAAGGGGCGCAGCGGCTGGCGGGGTGGTGGCGCCGCCCCCACGGCCGGAGGAGTCCACATTTGAGGCTTTTCGGGTGGTTGGAAAGCCCTAATTAAAATAATTACGACGTGTGTGTGTGTGTATTTAAGTGCGCCATGGCGCATCCCTTGCGAGTCGCTTTTAAATGCTTTTAGCACACTCACTTGACTACAAGAATTATTATATGTGATCCGCACCCACAAATTTGCCTCTTGTTTGATTTATATTCATATTCTTCTGCCAGAAGAGCGTCCCACCGCCCAACCACCCCCTCATCATCTACCCAATAATTATCTGATGGCATTATAATTTCACCACATTCGTGCTCTTGCGCCGCACCGGTCGTGCCGAAATATAAATTGTGAATATGCAAATATTAATTATGGTGAATCTTATCGCGCTGACTAAATAATTGGCCTGTTTTTCGGTGTTTCGCGGTTTTGAGATCATCAGCGAGAGACTGGAAAAATAATAAAACAATTAGATCCTATCGAACACTTAAAAATGAATAAGCATTTGCATACAAGACGGCAATTTTCACCATTTTTTCCACACTCCGCCTGTGCCGTATGACGAAAAGACTGATGAGATCTGGCCGAGATCTCCTATTCTAGGCGGTGAAGTTTCCAATTGACTCGACACAGAGGGACTGAAGAGTGCAAATTGCCATTAACACTTCACAGAACATGCGCACCAGGTACATGTTTTTCGCGCAAAAACCCCGTAATTCCGCGCTTAATTTAAACAATTTTGTCACCTCACTTAAGCGCGTTCATCTGGATCTTGTTTTAGTTTTTATCTCTAATCTATAGAGCATAGAATTTACGAAGAGTGCGTGAGCTCAAACAAAGATCTGTTTTTCAAGACTTAACACGCATTTCTCAGGATTATTTGCGTTCAGAAGACATGAGATAACTTTTTCAGATTACAATGTAGAAGTGTGACCAAAATTCAAGATAAAATCATTTCTTGTATAAATTTCAAAAGTGACAATCGTGAAAATCATTAAATTATTTCCTCTAAATGATGTAAAATTTTATAGTTTTGCATTTTGTGCAAAAGTTACTACGCTTTTTCCCTCTATAGCATGAGTAATCATACAACAAGTTATTGAACACATTTCGAGAAGACTCTGCCAATAGATTTCTAGCTTGTAGACCAAAGATGGTCAAAAGGAAACACGAGCATTTCTGCAACAATGATAATTTGTATTGTAGTGTCCAATGTCGAGAGTCATCCTCAAACTAATTTATTTCCAACTGGCAAACACGGCGTTGCCGTTCAAATGACTTCTCCTACAATTCCTACAAGATTTTCCACTCTCTAGAGAAGGTGAACCTGGGGATCTCGATGGCCTCTGGATGGCTGGGAAAAGGAGGGAAATTTTATGCCTGTGTAGAAATTGATTAACACTCGGCGCTCATTGTGAGAAACCGTGACGATTTTTGAGATCTTTGTCTCGCCTTCTCGCCATGGCGGATCATTTTCTCTCAGAGAGGATGTTTCTTAATTTGGCCAAATGTTCTCTTGATTATGCATGCTCGCCAGTGTAAAAGATGGCCACAGTTCAGTGTCAAGAAGCAAATGTTTTGACCTCTCTTGTGTGAAGGATTAAAAGTCCAAGTAATTAATCAAAGACCAATTAGTTGCCTTCTCTCTGACTTCCTGGAAGTGCTCTTGCTCCTCTTTCCGGCCACTTGTGCGCCTCTTTGGCACGATGGAACTTTTATCATCACGCCACGCAGATTGGATTTCGTGAAGATGAGCCAATGGGTGGCTGAACATTTTGCCCGGCTCATGGCAATATTGTCGAACAAGCGGGGAATGGGCGAAAATTGGTAAATAAATGCTGAGGGACGACGAAGAGCATCTTGTCCAAGTGGCACAACTCCGGCCCCCTACGCCATTAGGGTGCTAACAACGCAGCTTGTTATTCAATAAATATACGGACAATCTGTGGTAATCACTAGTTTTAGGGCAACACACGTGTTTTTTATGTGTGCAAAAATGCACACAAGGCATCGCTGTGCCATCATCATTGCGCCGAAGAAGTCGAGGAATAACAAGAGGAGGTGAATCTTCTCCGTGTTATTCCACTTTCGTGTCTCCCCCTTTTTTTGTGCGCCACCTTCCCAAAATCCACACAATGCAGGGAATATTATTGCTCCGCCACGAGTTTTGCGCAAATATTTCGTCCCTCCTTTTTATTTGCACTTCCATCTCCCTTACTTTTGGCCAATCTCCTCGATATCTCTTTTTGTCCGATGCTGACGACAGCGCAAGAGCCAGAATTTCTGCGAATTTCACCAAGCAGACATTCCTTATCCCATCCTGCCAATGCTTGACCATCTTGCATAAGGACAAATTTATCAGTGTTCAGCGGTTTTTCTGCGCCGGCAGCATCTTGAATTCTTATTAAAAATGCTGCAGAGAGCTTTCATGAGCTTGTTCTCGCATGGCCACATTTCATATAAAAATATTTTTATAGCTCTCATACGACAGCATGAAATTCATAAAATTGCCTTTGAAATATGATGCGATGCTCACAATTGCAGTTATAC